TCTTTCTAAAACGATCGAAAAACTTCGGTTGAATATTCATCGGATTCTAGAATTTTTCACCAGAATCTTGAGTTTTTCGTCGGAAGTTCACCGAAAAGTTAATCGGTTTCTGAGATCCTTCGTCGAAAATTGGGTAGCTCACCGAAAACTTCAAGGTTGGTCGGAATAGTCACCAAAAAATACAACTTTCGTCAAAAAATTCAATCGAAATCTGAAATTTTTCAAAAATTTCCAGAAAAAAAATCGCCAAAAATCTTCAAAAAATTTTTGCTAATTTCTAGGGTTGTTCTAACACTTCTAAACCTTTTCTTAGCCTTCTATATGCCCTTGTTCTCTCAACTAGCAGCTTCTTTGCTCACTGTTTTTCCTCCCTTCTGTTCTGTTCCAGAGGGTCCCTTTTATAGGGATTGATCAGGAGTTTCTGATCAATCCCAATTCCTCTTTAGATCAAGATTCAATCATTGAATCCAACATGGACTCTTCTGATTGAATCTCAATCCAATTTTCAACCAGATAAATAAAAAAAATAAAAAAAAATAAATCAAATAAAAATAAATCAAAAAAATTAACAGATAAATTAAAATTAAATAACAGATAATACATAAATATTAACAGGAAAAAAAGAAGAAAAAAAATTAATAATATATACATATTAATAGATACATAAATACCCAAGATAAAAAAAATAATAAAAGAAAAGAGAAAGAAAAAATATATATATATATAGACTTACTCATTTGGACCAAGCTCAATTGATTCGAGCCTAGACCAAATTGGGTGTCTACACTTCCCATAAAGTTTCGTACCTTTTTCGAAGTACAGGGAGGGGATAAATTCTAAATAGCCTATATCTTATTCTGAATCAACTTTGATTCCTCTTTTACTAACCACAAAACCTAATAATTTTTTTGATTTAGCACCAAATGTAGATTCGGCAGGATTTAATTTCAACTGAAATCCTCTTAACCTATTAAACAGCTTTTTGAGATTGACTACATGATCCTCTTTTTCATGAGATTTTATGATCATATCATCCATATATACTGCTATTTTTTTATGCATCAGGTCATGAAAAAGAGTCACAATTACTCTTTGATAAGTGGCACTAGCATTTTTCAACCCAAAAGGCATGACTTTGTAACAGAATGTCCCCCACATAGTCTCAAATGTGGTTTTCTCCATATCATCCTGAGCCATCTTGATCTGATTATAGCTTGAGAAGCCATCCATAAAAGAAAATGTGAAGTGCCTAGCAGTATTATCCACTAGAGTATTGACAAAAGGTAAAGAAAAATTATCCTTTGGACTTGTCCTATTCAGATCTCGATAGTCGATACACATTTTCACTTTTTCATCTTTCTTGGAAACTGGCACTATGTTGGCTACCCATTCAAGATATTTTGCCACCTCCAAAAATCTTGCATCAAATTGTTTTTTTCACTTCTTCCTTAATTTTTAGTAGGATCTTCGACTTCATGCGCTTTAGCTTTTGCTACACTGGCTTACATTTCGGTTTCAAAGGTAATTTATGCTCTATAATATTAGTGCTGAGTTTTGACATATTCTGGTAAGACTATGCGAACACATCTATATATTCTCGGAGTAGCTCTTTTAGCTTCTGCCTTTTAACCGATAAAAGGGATGTACCAACTTTGACTTCTCTTTTATTTTTATCATCCTCCAAATTCACTAATCCAATAATTTCTTGGTGGGGTTCAACTGGCTTATTTTTATGTTTTATTAATTTTAACAAATCAGGAGGCAGTGTGTAATTATCTGAATCTTTTTCATTATCAAGTTTGTCAACATAAATTAAGTGTTTAAAATCGAATCCAAGATTATTGTCATGATTATCCTCGTGTTCATTATTTGAGATCCTGCAAATGGTAAAATGAAGAGAACATTGGCATAAAAAAAATAAAACGACAAGAAAATGATTAAGGCAAAAAGGGAAATGATTCGAAAGAATAAAAGTGAAAGTGAATAAGAGAAATGTAGATGCATTTTCCAAGCCTTTTATTAAAATGACAAACATAAACACGTCACAAAAGTTCTCCTAATGCTCGTAGAAAGTAATTAGGGATTTAAAGTTTCACAGTACATTACTTTTTCAAAGTTTTAAAGACAACAGGCAGCTCCATAACTTTTCAATTATCCAACTAAAAATCTGGAGGACAAGGATACACGAACAACTCTTCACTTTGACTCTTCTTTTCTCCATCATCCACCATTTGAATGGCCAGCTCTGAAAATTCTTTCATGAATCTTGCACTTAGAGCTCCAGATAAATCTGGATAAATATATCTTCCCAAACAAAAAGAATCATAAAGGTATGAAATGATCATAGGCTCTGACTCTGACTCATATCCCTCAAGATTAGCTATCCTATTATCTTTTTTTTCATTAATCATTTTTATTCTGTCCCCTTTTGTTGGTTTATATCTCAAGCTGAATCTATTTTTCTTTTCATATATGGTCGATGGCTTCGTGATTCCTTGTAGATTCTTCTTAAGTTCGGCTTCAAGTCACCATTCTATCTTGGTACACTGTTTGACTACCATTTTAGTTATCGTAGACAAGTGTGGTGAATTAGATCTTTCAGCCACATATGTTGCATTGGCAATTTTGAAAGATCTATAAGAGCATTCTAGTGCTTCATCTGCTGAATCCACATAAAGAGTATTTATCGGTTGAGTTACCAATAAATCTTTTTCTCTTGCCACACATGTTAGCTTTTTTTCAACAATGAATTTAACTTTCTAATGTAATGAGGATGGAACAACACCCGTTATATGGATCCACGGCTTACCCAATAAGCAACTGTATGAAGGAGAGATGTCCATAACTTGAAATTTCATGTTGAAAGTGTACGGGCCAATTTGCAATGGTATTTCTATGTTTCTTAATACCTCTCTTCAGGTTCCATCAACGACTCTCACTATCATATGACTAGGCTTCATATAAGATCCATCAACAAAGAGTTTCACCAGAGTAGTCACAGGTATAATATTGATGGATGAGCCATTATCGATCAAAACCTTAGCCATTATATGACTCTTACACTATTGAAATCAACGATTGAAATAGAAAAGATATTTAGGTTAAAAATGAATCCTAAACCTAGATGTTATCTAGGTGATTAGGGTTAACAACAATCTGCTCCAGGTTTGGGGTTTTTTTTTTTCATTTAGGTATTTTTTTTTTTATCAATAACTTTTCTTTTGATAATTTTTTTTAATCGAATACTCAAAAAAATTCAAATGAGGATTAAAGTGTTAGATTAGTTGGCTTTTAATATTTTTATGTGTTATTGCTGCATTTATCATTCACATCACAGTTTTTATTGAAAAAATCCTACATTATTGCAAGTTAATAACTTTTAATCCTTATTTATACGAATTAAAATATTTAGTTCTAAATTACGCAACTATCCAAACATTTAATCTCAAATTGAGCATTTAGTTTTCAGATGTACATCATGTATACTGTAGGATCAAGCACTATTTTTTTTTTCGAAAATGTAAATACCAAACATTTTTTTATAATTTTCATTTTTGAAAATTATATTTTATTTTTGTGTATCAAACATGTTTTTTAAAATTCAAAAAATATAAAAAATATTTTCTAAAACCAAACGATTTTTTCAAATCTATTTTTTTCTTGATCATAGTGTAAATATATCATCCCAAAATCATAGTTTTTGAATTTGATCATTAAAGTTCGGTAAACTAAGAAACAAGCAAAGGAAGTAGTAAGCAAATATAGCTCAATCTTCTAAAATGCATAATCGTATACAGAATAACAGCCATATTTAATCAACCTTTTTCGGTTCATGAATCCCAAAATAAACATGAAAGAGAAGAGTTTTTTTCAATGTACACATTACACATATGTATCCAATACCAAAGAAACTAAATTTGAAACTTGAAAATTAAATTAATTGGTTGATGCAACCACCCTTAGAAAATGGTATCCGATGACTTTAAATTCAAATCACAGCACTTGTAAGCTTTTCCTCATCTCTAGACCATGATTACCTTTGTAAAAAAAAAATAATAATAATTTTGATTCTAATTAATGACAGCAACAGACTATACGATATTTAACAATGTAAAAAATTTAAAAGGAACTGTTGGTACTAAAGCTCTGATGAACCACTAATCAATTGAAAACAACCAAAAACAATGTGACAAATTACCTCCATGTAGGACTCTGGATGCTGAAATGCAGCGGTTTTGCCGACTTGTTTGCTGGTTTGATCATGCTTTACCTAACAAAGAAAAGTTGGAAAACTTCCGCTTCAGCATTTATATTCTCAAGTCAGACTTCAATTGTTGGAAGATTAGTATCAACTGTCTTTTCTTTTTCTTCTCTTATGAGTTTGAAAATAAACAAAACCCAATTGAAAAGTTAAAGCTCACAAAAGAAATCACAATCAGATGAACTTACTAGTATGAAAAATTAAGCATGGTGTAAGTAATTACCCATAACTAAACTAGTTTGTTTTTGCTAAAAGTTTGTTCTGGTTAAGGAAGAAACCATAACTAACTAAAACTCGTAACCATAAGCAATGTAATTTTTTGTATTTGAGATTGTCTTTGAACCCACCATTAAAATTAAGAGTCCAACATTTCATTAATTTAGGTTTTAGCTAAACTTATTTCGTATACCATATATTTTTATGCACTGAAAACTTAAGAAAGTGCTGCTATTCAAAATTTTGGTTCCACATTGGTCACCTTTAACTGCAATGAATAATGTGTAGCTATATTTTGCCAGTTTATGCAGCATTTACAGCTATTTTTAATTCATCAAAATGATGTAAAAAATTGTATGGTGTAATCAAATCTATATAAGAGTGGCTAAAAGTGTAGAAATTAAGAACGTAGCTAGAAAGACTTTTAACAACACCATTGGGAAAAATGCAAAGTCAAAATCGTCGTAGTAATGTAAGAAGAAACTTTATAAATTATTAAAGTCACCTGTTGTGGATCGCGGTTTCAGTGACAGTTTTGAAATATGATAGTAGAAATGTGTTGGAAATTGCAGAAATCTTCTCCTCCTTGCACCAATCTATCTTTAAACGCTCTGGGCATCTTTTCCATCTTGACCTCTTGAAGGGTTTTGACGAGCTTCAATCCAACTGGAAGCATCTTCAAACTTCTGCAATCGACAATCTCCAAGTTGCGTAGTTTGGGCATGGCATTTTCATCCACCCTCCACTCTTCTAGATTAGAATTTTCAATGAGTTTTAGGGAAATCAGTTGAGCAAAACCTTCAGAAGAACAGACAATTTCCTTTCCAGCGAATGCTTTGTGCAATCCTAGAACCCTCAAGTTGGGTAGTTTCTCTAGTGTTGGCATTGGATCTCTATCAAGTTCAGACTCATTCAAGTACAAGTAAGTGATCTTGGAGGGAAACTGGTGGTAACCTGGCAGCTCCCTCATTGCTGTAGTTAGACTCAACTCAAGAATATCTACACAGTTTGAGAGTAGAAGCATTAAATGTTTTGGATCTATTGGGTCTTGACTCCAAATATACAGGGATCGAAGATGTTCACTGGTAACAATCCGAGGATTCGAATCCAAGATTTCCTCAATATCTTCAAGAATGAAATGCCTGGATATCCTCAACTCTCTAAGATTTGTCAGGCTACAAAGATCTCCCATATAACAATTCTTGGTGTTGAAATTCACAAGCGTTTGTAGGTTCCTCAAATCGTTCAGCTTCAACTTGGTCTTATCATTACATTTCTTCGGGAGATACAAATGTCTTAAACTTTTCAGCTTCCATATAACATCAGGTACATGAACAGCAAACTTCTCATCAATTTCCAAATTCAATGTTTGCAAGAGCGTCAACTTACCTAAAGTTGAAGGTAGCCTTGAGACGTAAGAAGCCTTCCGGAGACTTAAATATCTCAAGTGGATGAGCTTACCTATATCACTTTGTAATTCCCCTCCTACATACATTTCAGACCCTTCAAATTCCAGGACTCTGAGCAACTTAAAATTGTTGCTCAAGTATCTCCATGTCCTCTGAAATTTACGGATAACTCGCCGTAATAGCAAAAGTGTCGAAAGCCAAGGCTTATCTTTGGTTGCGTAAATTTCATTAGATTGGTGGAGAGATCTATAAATTAACTCATCCGTAAACATCACATCGAAAAAAAAGAGAGACCTGAGATCACGAAGTTTGTCAATCCCTCTCATATCACCGGATTCATGTATGGCAAGTCTTCCGATTGAGAAAAGAGGGTAGCCAACTTGAGTTGTATCAACAATGTGAACAAAATTCTGTTCTCTGGCTTTTGCCAAGCACATATCTCTTATCATATCATGCACATAGCATGTTCTGATCTTTAAACTTGCATCTAGTTGTCCGACTTGCATCATGCGTCTTTCGACAAGCTCCATTAAGTAGTATTCTGCGATTTCTTCTATCCATATTTCCCTTCTATTTTCAATTTCCACCAATGGAAATGGAATAATATTTTCTGCAACCCACAATTGAATCAATTTAACCGTAGGTATTTCGTAGCCATCCGGAAAGAGACTTAAATATAGGAAGCATGGCTTTAAATAGGATGGCAAAACGTCATAGCTTAAGGCTAACAGGTTCGACGGCTCTCCATAGCCTCCGCACCGCAAAATTCGACACAACCTCAAGCTTTCTTCTTCCGACAACGTTGTAGCGATAATCCCTCCCAACACAACAATGGCTAATGGCAATCCTTCGCATCGATTAACCATTTCTTCCACCTCTTCGTCCCCACTTCTATAACCTGTAACTTGAAAAATAAAATAATTAGTGAAATAGTGAGCTGCGGACTCAGAATCAGAGGTGTTCTCATAGGTTAAGCGAGTTAACATTGGATAATAATTTATATACTTGTTTTACTTCATCTGATATTTCAGGTTCAAAATTTTTTCAAAACCCAATTCATATTAAAATAATAAAATTCAAGTTTATCTATTAAGTTCAATTTATATAATAAAAAAATATTTTTAAAAAAATAATATTAAAATAAAATTTACACATATATTTATATAATTATAATAATTTAATTATATTTAAATTATTTGAATCGGACCTAGCCAAACTTGAGCTCTAATTCTTATGTCTAAGATCCAATCTAAAATTTAAATTGACCTAAAAATTTTGTCCAAATCTATTTAATAACTCTTAAATTTTTATTCAAATTATCTCAAATTTTAGATAATTTTTCTAACTCAAATGGATAGCTCGACCCTTGAGTGAATATACTTACAATTAAAAGTAGCTTTATGTTGCTAATTTTGAGTTATTATTATTGGCTTGTTACCCTACTTATTTAGTGATATTTTTTAAAAATATTGATTAAAAATAATTTTTAATCGACTAATAATTAAACAGAGTAATTTTAAATTAAAGAACAAGATTACTAGTAATAGTAATAATAATAAATAAAATATTATTATTTTAAAATATTGGTTTGGTTATAATTTTATATTCATGTGTTGTTGTGAAAGTAAAATTTTTTATTTAAATAAATTTTAGTTTTTGTATATTTTTATATATGTTAATATGAATATAATAATATTTTTTTAATTATAAAAATTAAATATATTAAAAGTAATTAATCATAAACTATACGCAATCTAAATGTATTCCTAAGTGTAATTGATAATTAGATATACATTTATTTTTTAAATATTTATATTATATTAAATAACTTAAGATATAATAAATCTATAACTTTACTTTCATTATTTTTATTATTCTTAACTTTTAAAGCAATTTACTCAATTAATAATTTTATTTTTATAATTTTTATTACTTTTACTTTCTGAAATTATTTCACAAACTTCATATATGCACACAAATTAAAAATAAAATAAAATAATTAAAGAATGGGTACCTTAAGGACAATTGGATTTTACATAAAGAACTTAGGTTGGGAATACACGTTTTCAACCCAAAAACATTTATAAATCTAAGATCTTATCGATGTAGGATTCGTAATATTCTCACCCATCCAATTGTACAACATCTTCATTGCATTGACACTTTCATTCAGAACCCATCTTGATATGTCTCATGGCCTCTAGCCTTCATATCAATGAAGAGTGGATGATGAGTGAACCGATGTTGAAAGTTAAGGGCCCCCCAAAATTTTGATAGCCTTATTTATATATATATATATATATATATATATATATTAAACTTAAATGGGCTCATTCTCAATTAAAACTATTAATTTTATTTTGCTTTTATAATTTAATTTTATGCATTCTAGTTTAAGAGAGTTAGAATCTATTCCTATTTCATTATTTATTATATTTACCAATCACTACTTACAAATCTATAAAATCAAAAAATTTGTCACAAGTTTAAAATCACAATTATTTGAACAAAACAAAGATCAAATTAATTTTTACATTCTTAACAAGACTCCAAATTTATAATCATGTACCAAACGTGTTTTTTTTTTCTTTTTTCTTTTTTATAACTTATTACAATTTCATCTCCATATAAATTTTTACTTCAAATTTTACTCTTTATCTCTCTTTCATGTTATCCTGCAATCTTTTCTTAAGGAAAAAAAAAAAGATTAAAACCATTTTAGAGAAGATTTTATCATAATTTTATATCTCAAAATTTTAATTTCATTCTTTTAAAAGTATATTTATTTTTCTTATTTTGATAAAAAGATATTGTTTAACAATTGATTTATTTATATTTTATATTTTAATTTTAAATTGTCAAAAAAAAATAGTTCTACAATTCATTGAAATTTTGTATAAATTTTGTATAATTAGTATTTCTACTATTAATACAAAAGTATTGGTATTCCTTAAATTTTGAATGTTCTAATTTTATTTTATAATTTTATGAGCTTGTTATTGTTTATAAAATAAAATATAATATTACTTAGCCCTCTAAAATTAAGTGTTAAGATCTTTCATAGGTTTGGATCTACTCTGATACCACTTGGTTCAAACCTCCCTCAACCCTAATATCTGTCATAGGGCTCTCACATCAATGAAGAGTTGGGTCTACTCTGATATCATTTATTATGGGTTTATTTTTCAACCCCCTAAATATGATTATTAAGTGATGGAACATCAATGAAGAGTTGAGTCTGCTTTGAAACCACTTATCACAAGTCCATTTTTCACCTCAATAGACATAAGTATTAGGTGTTGGAAAACCCATGATTTTGAGCCTACCTCGATTTTGATATCTCTCATAGGAACTCAATTTAGCAAAGAGCCTATTTATCATCGCCCATAATTTCAACCAAAAAGATATGCCTATTAACTCATTATTTATAAGTGCAAGACCACATTTTTCTCCTATTGACATGAGATTCATGATGCCTGCACCTTTTCAATTTTTTTTTTTTTTCATTTTCTCTCTCTATTGCCACCCGTCATTCTCTCTCTAAATAAAACTCCTATATTTTCTTTGATTTCTCTTTTATCATTGTTCTTGCTTTCAGTTATGACCTATCAACGAATAGTTTTCTTTATTTCTTCTTTCGCTAAGCTTCCACTAATAATTTTTCCCTAAACTTCTCTTTCGATTTTTTTTAATTGAACCCAAAAAATTCAAAACAAGCCCACGAAAAATCTCGTGAGTCTTAGTAATCTTAATACATTTTTTAGTATATATTCTTAAAATTTTTTATATTTTCTAGAAGTTTAAAACAAAAGAAGAATGGTTTTTGAAAATCTCAATTCTAAGGTTTTTTTTATATGGTGGCTTGTATTGGTTTACGATGGTTAAAAATTTTCTAGAATAAAAAAACTTCCCCACCTAAAGTTTTACAATTTTATAATTTTATTTTTATTTTTTTTGTACAACTATTTTTTTTGGAAAAAAAATATTTAAAATTCTAGATTTGGTGGATTTTTCTTACCATTTTTAATTGTTTGGTTTTATTTATCTGAATTTCACATATTTTTGGTTATTTTGTTTGAATTTTTGTTAAACTTTTTTCTTTGTGCTTCTTTTTCATTTCCTCTTGAAATCATTCTTACGTTGTTTAAGTTTTTAATTTAAAGGAAATAAAATAAAAAGAGAGATGGGTTAAAGTGGCGAGATTTTAACATGCCAAATGTATTGGATTTTTTTTTTTTAATTTCCAAAATTCATGTCAACATAAAATTATTCATTATTTGCATACTAGCTTGTGATTTATATGATGCATAGATTAGTTTTACTTATATAAATATGTATAAATATAAATAAATTAGCATTTTTTAAAAATTATATTCAAATGTTCAAAATTTATGACACATGTTAAAATTTATATATCTAACATACATGTTATAAGAAAAAGAAACTTTTTGAATAAAGTGGCAAAGTTTTAAATATATAATAAACAATATTATTTCGATAGAAGCAAATAATAAAATAAGTAAAAGTTTTTATTGAGTAAAATTAAATTTTTTCAATTTCCACCATCTTTATCTATAGTAATATTTATACACTAACAATTTTATATCAAATATAGATAAATTATTTGTATTTCAAAAACTATGAATTTTCAATCTTTTTATGCTTCCGTCTCTTTTATATAAACTATGAATTAATATATTCAAATAATGTAAGTGGATTTTATTGTCCTAATATATATATATATATATATATATATATATACCCACAAACTTTATTTATTTAAATTTATATGAATATTGATTTAAACAGTATATAATTTTTTATGGTTCTTAAGATTTAGAGATTTAATTTTTTAAAATTATTTGAATTTTGTATTTCATATAAATGAATAAGAGTGAGGTATGAGATATGTTTTTTCAGGTTTAAATTAGGATAAAACTTATATGCATTGAAATACTTAGATAAAGGTAAATTTTGAAACTTTAAAATTTTTAAAAATTAAATAATTAATTAAATAAAATTATTTAGAACTATCCTACGTGTCAATAATATAAGATGTTCACTTAAACGTCTACATAAGTAAATTTTATCAGATTTTTATGTATATTATAATATAATATGATATAATATATATATATATATATATATATATATATATATATATATTAGATGTTTACCATGCAATCAACCCTTGATCTAAGGATTACAAGTTAGTTCCAACCGTGTTTCATGTGAGTAAAGTTAACGGTGACTTGATTTAAATAAGATAAAGCACATAATGGATAAAAGATTTGGATAAATTTAATTTATACAATTTTGAAACATTGAATCATTGATTGGATTGTAATTTGAAACATTGAAAATTTGATTAGATAAAATTATTTGGTAAATAATTTAAATTTAATAATTATTTATTGGATCTTATATGTCAAAAATTTAGATTCCTATATATGTATTCAAATGACATACTTTATCAGATATTCATATATTTTTAATATGATATATAAATATATATATATATATATATATATATATATAAGATTAGATAGATGTATGCCATGTAATCACCCCTTCAGAGGATTACAAGTTAGCTCCAACCGTGTTTCATGTGAGTAAAGTTAACGGTGGCTTTATTTAAATAAGGCAAAGCACATAATGGATAAAAGATTGGGATAAACTTACTCTATGATTTTGAAACATTGAATAATTGATTGGATTGTAATTTGAAACATTGAAAAATTGATTAGATAGGATTATTTGATAAATAACTTAAATTTAATAATTATTTATTGGGTCTTATATGTAGGGATGGCATCGGGTCAGGTTCGGGGCGGGTTTTACTCGCCCCGAACCCGACCTGACTTTATGCTTTAGCATATCCGAACCCGATTCTACCCGATTTTTTTATACTCGAATTCGATCCGACCTGATACTATGTAAATCGTACCCGACTCAAAATTAATAAAATATTATTTTTTAAAATATAAAATATTATTTTTTAAATATAAATATTTAAAAATATCATTATATAAATATATATAATTAATTAATTAATTAAAAAATAATTTTTTATATAATGTCGGATCGAATTTTAGGCGTACCCGAACCCGACCCGACCCCGATTATTCCCTAACTATACCCGACCTTACTCGACCCGAAAATCGAAATTCAAAAAAAAAAAAAACCCGACCTTATGGGATCGAGTCGGGCCGGAACCCGTCGGGGACGGGGTTGATTGCCGTCCCTACTTATATGTCAAAATTTTAAATTATCCATGTAGGTATTTATGAACACCTTATTAGATATTCATATACTTTGCAATATGATATATTTATATATAGATATTTATAATTTAATTCTTGTACCGAATATTTGAGAGAGAAAAAAAATAAAATAGTAAATAAGGTCAATAGGCATCGTTAACTTTACTGACATCATACATGGTTGGAGCTGACTTGTAATCCTTAGATGAAGGGGTGACTGCATGCCACACACGCACACACATATATATATATATATATATGTATGTATGTATGTATGTATATATATATATGTATGTATGTATGTAAAAATAAGAGAATAAGAATTCAAACTTTTATCCTAATCTTTTTGAATATTAATTGTTAAAAGAAAATTTATAATAAGTGTTATTGTCAATAAAAGTAATTTATCATCAACATGAAATGAGAAATTTTAAATTTTCAAAAAGATAAGTGAAGCATCTTCTAAGCAAGGACTATGATGAAGCCCAAAATTTATGTTGGGTTAATATTATGAATGTTTCTTAAATTATAATGAAATATTTAATGTGATACTTAAATTTTAAAAATCTTTAACTAATAATTAAACTATAAATTTGGTAACTAGTATTTGTAATGTATTTGTCCATCACATGTTATTATTTGAAATTAGTTACGTTAAAAGTGAGTATCATATTAATTAACAAATTTATAGTTCAGATATCATATTAAAAATTTTTAAAATTGATATATCATATTAAATATTTTATTATAATTTACAGATTATTCGTGATATTAACTCGTATATTTAATGTAGAATTTAATGTTACTAACTTTCAAGCTTCTTAAAATTGTTTTAACAGTTTGTGTGTTTTGTCTTCGAAATATATATATATATATATATACTAGTAACTATGAGATGGAGCGAGATATTTACCTGTGAATTGTCTTTGAGGAAATGCAATCCTTCGGAACAATTTCAGACTGTTGTCCTCATTTAATGGCTGCAATTCATGTAGGTAACATTTTGGATCTGCGTTCAGAGCTACCTCTTGGTTGCGGCAAGTAATCAAAATCTTGCTGCTTGTTTCCTGCAGGTTCCTCGGTAGCGCAGCTTTTATACTATCCCAAGCCTGGATGCTCGGAATGTCGTCAAGTATCACCAAACATTTATGTTCTTTCAAGAATTTAAACAACTTCTCTGCAACTTGTTCATCCCGCTTATTCCTATCATCCTCATCAAAAACGTTGAGGCTAATTAGAATTCTTTGCCACACATTTCTTCTCTGGCAGTTTTGAGAAACATATGCCCATGCGAAGCAATCAAAATGATTTCTAACTTGGCTATGATGGTGTAGCATCTTGGCCATGGTTGTCTTTCCAGAACCGCCTTTACCCCATATGGAAACAACTCGGAAATGACTTTTATCATCCACCAGATCTGAGACTAATTCCATAATGTTAGCGTCAAACCCCACAACATTATCTTCAAGAAAATGAGGGTGACGATTAGAGCTAGAGTGAGACCGCCTTAACTTTTCCAAGTGATCTAAATTGCTCCGGTCCCGTAAATGTCTTTCCAAGTTGATGATTTCGCTCGTGACTTCCTGTATCACCATCCATGCTTCTCTCAGGAAGCAAGCAGATCTTTTGATGACGTTTGAAATACCTTGTTCCCTTTTGGGTAAAGTTTTGAGAACCAAAGCCTCAATGACATCCCGAGCTTCATAAGCCAATTCTCCGATTTCAGCCAAGTAGGGACTAGTTAACATCGTATTTTCATCCTGTCTCATATCTTCCAGGAAGATTTTCATCCGCTTGAGCTCTTCTAGCAAAAGATAAACTTCACGAAGCGGATCCCAGTTCCACGATTGTTCTCCTTCAACTATAACCTTTTCAATCCATGCGGCTACGGAGGAGACGGCAGAGTAAGCCATATTTCTCTTCTTTTTCTCTCTACACCCAGGCCAAAATCCTTTTTTCTTAATTCATCGCTCTATGAACTTCCTTTATATCTTGCTGTATTGCTGGAGTTGTAATTAATTCTCGGATTCTTGCCTTGTGCCACAGGTCGAAACAATTCTCTGACAAAAGTGCTACATGCACGGGAATTTAACCCAATTACTTGCTTAGGCAATCCATCTTGGAGAAAACAGCCAATGGAGATTCACGTACCCCTTTACTATACCATTACGATAGGGATCTTTTCGTTAAGAAATAAGGTGAAATACAACAGGCCCAAATTGACAATCTAAAACAGGAAAACAACACGAGAAAATACACGAAAGTAAAATGATTTAAAAATAAAAATAAAAAAACATATATGAATTTGACAAAACAAAAAATATATATTTTATATTTTTATGTTAATATGAATTATGATGTATAATTTTTGTATAAAATAAAATACAAATATATGAATTATCAAAATACATGAATTACCAATTCTACCGGCACATAGGTTATCCTCAAACACACACAAACTTTTTCTTGTTCAACATTCCTTTAGCATTTGGAAGTATCCTATTCAAAGCAGGAGGCTCCTAAGCAATTGGGTTACCCCCTTTACTCTTATTATTGGCTTCAGTAATCAATGGAAAATTAATAGTATTTCCATAAAAGTGAGAAATAAGGGACAATCTAAATCAGAACCAACACCAGTTTAAAATCTTCCAATGAGAGGAAAAAAATGAATCTTGATCTCACAGATTTGATATCAAGAGAATTATTTCAAAATTTTGATATCATATAATTATAACCATAAAATAATTTTAACTCATAATATTAAACAACTAGAAGTTACTATAAATATTTCAAAGAAAATTACACTCTTCTAAGAGCCAACGTTTTCTTTATCAAATCAAACCATGTAAATTTAGCCATATTTAATTTCGATTAATTAGGTGTCAATTTCAGCTTATGTTTCTAGACAATCTATACATCTATAAATTTTATATCTTATATCTTATATAAGTATATAAAAGCCAAAACTTTTGGCAAAAAAAAGGAAAAAAATCTAAGGTGAATGGACTATTATTTTGACATGTGGATGACCTTAAATAATTTGACATGTATCTTACATTTAATTAATTTTATTTGATTTCATTTAAATTTTAAAATATTTCAATGCATTGATTATATTTGAATTATTTTTTAAAAAATAAATAAATTATATTTATTTTTTAATATTATTTACCTTAAATCACTCTCAACTAAATTAATATTAAAGATAATAAAACTTTAATTGCCATCATTATAAGATAATTTTGTGCTCTCTTTTTTCAATTTTAATATTCAACTCTTAAATTACATTTGTATAAAAAAAATCACTTTCTAATCTTATATCTTATATCTTATATAAATATATAAAAGTCAAAACTTTTGGCAAAAAGGAAAAATGTCCAATGTAGATGGCCTATAATATTGATATGTAGACAACCTTTATTAATCATCACATGTCATGTATTAATTATATTTATTCATATTTATTTCTAATTAAATTGATATGAATTGATTGGATTTCTTAAAATTTTTAAAATATTTCAATGCATTAATTATATTTATTTTCTTTTAAATTTTTAATTGACTTACCTTTTATTTCTAATAAAATATCCTAAATTGTAAATCAAATGATACATTATAATCAAATAATTTCTTAATGATTCAAAAAATTAATAAACTATATAATTACGGTTATTAAACATTTTTTAATGATTCAAAGAATTTCTATTGAAATCTAATAAGAAATTAAAAATTTAATAACCACTAAAATTATGATCAAGAATTGATTATTTAATCAATTATTTGGTGTATTTATATTTGATTAAATATAATATCCAACTAAATAATGGATGTTACTTATACATAAATATATATATAAATGATATAATGATTTTAGATATTTATATTAGATTAATGATACATTATAATGTTAGAATTTTGTTTTTGTTATAAAATCAAGTATACCTTATAATGTTAGATTTTATATATGCGGGTTGTGATTAATAAGTCATTCATCCTATCTTATCTTATATAAATATATAAAAATCAAAATTTTTGGTGAAAAGAAAAAAATTCAATGTGGATAATCTATTTTTTTTAACATATAGATTGTTTTACTGTGTCCTGCATTTAATTATTTTGATTTGACTTCATATATCTTTTATTAATTTAAAAGATATTTATTTGGCTAAAATAGGTTATTTATTTATTATAAGTATCCAATATTCTTGGCTTTTATAAATGTGTTATAATTAAATTATCTTAAATCATTTCAACCAAATTCAATTCTTATTTTTGAACATCAAACAAGTATATTATAAATAAGAAATATACTTTGAAAGCATTCATTATCTAATGATCGTGATTTTAGTATTTAATTAAGAAATAATCTATGTATTTATTAACCTAAATGAATATATAAGGCATATAATGCTAAAAATTCAAACCTAAAATAAAAGTCTAATTAGTTGGAAACATATTTTCATATTTCTTTCTATATAAGTATTAATTACAATTGGTAAAATTTATTGTCTTACAAGAACTTTTCAAAATATTGTGTAGACTTTTCAAAATAAAAGATATATTACATAAATAATTAATTATCCATTATAATTTTTTGTATAAATTACTCTCAATTTATAAAAGTTTCTCATATTCTTATTATAAATAGAAATTTCTATATGTTAAAAGTACTAGGAGGTTAGTCTTTAAAAGCCTCCAAATATATTGATCTCATTATGATCAAGAAAATTTTGATCCCACAGTTACATGTCTTTTTATGTTGATAAACTTTTCTTTGTCATGTTTGTCGATTGATTTTATTTTTCTTTTATTCACTTTTTTATGCATGTTCATACTCCATTTATCTATTCATTTTTAATGTTAGCTTTTTTTATAGACTTTTAAATGGAATAATTTCATATGTTTTATCTTTTATTAGTTTTTAATTCTTGGAGATTTTGTCAATTTTTTCTTCATGACTAACAATGAATGTGAACAAGGTTAGATTTTTTAGTTAAATTTGAAGTTTGTTAGAATTTAGCAGAAGTTTTTCTCTCCTATTTACCTTTCATTTGCAATTTTATCTATGTTTAATATATAATATATAGTTTCAATTCCATTTACCAAAGAATGCAAATTCAATTTGAAGTACTTTGACCTTTGTAAATACAACACACGGATAGACACCATCTATCCAAGGGTTTATTTTTGTTATTACGAGTTTTACATGTCCTGCACCAAAGCAAAGGGCAACAACAAGCAAAAGTTTCCACAAAAAATGATTTTAAGTAAAATAAATTTCTATCGTTTGGAATTAAAAATTATTTAATTTTATATAAATATCACTATTAGATGAGATATGATACAAAATATTTTTCTTTATGTTATATAAGTTCATATTAATCTACAATATGTTTATTTTTGTCATTATTTTACATTGAAATTTTATAGTTTTTATATAAAATTTATTAGTTATATTATATATAATTAAGTTTTATATATATATAATTGTATATCCATGCATGACACAGATTTAAAACTAATAAATATATAAAAACCAAAACTTTCGGCAAAAAAAAAAAAAAATCTAAAGTAGATGGTCTATTATTTTGACATGTGGATGATCTTAAACAATCTATATGTGTCTTGCATTTAATTAATTTTATTTGATTTCATTTAAATTTTAAAATATTTCGATGCATTGATTTCATTTGAATTATTTTTAAAAAATTAAATTAATTATATTTATTTTTTATTATTATTTACCTTAAATCACTCTCAATAAAATTAATATTAAAGGTAATAAAACTTTAATTGCTACCATTATAAGATAATTTTGTATTTTTTTTCAATTATAATATTCAACTTTTAAATTACATTTATGTAAAAAAAAAAAGCCAAAGTAATAGAAATTATTTTACAATTAAGAGTTGAATATTATAATTGGAAAAAAAAAAACACAAAATTATCCTATACTGATAACAATTAAAGTTTTATTACCTTTAATATTAATTTAATTGAGAGTGATTTAAGGTAAATAATAATAGAAAATAAATGTAATTAATTTAATTTTTTAAAAATAATTCAAATATAAACAATACATTGAAATTATTTTAAAATTTAAATAAAATCAAATAAAATTAATTAAATGCAAGACACATTTTGATTATTTAAGATAGACTACATGTTAAAATAATAGACCATCCATCTTAGAATTTTTTTTTTTTTTTTGCAAAAAGTTTTGGCTTTTATACATTTATATAAGATATAAGATTGGAAAGTAGTTTTTTTCTTTTACATAAATGCAATTTAAAAGTTGAATATTATAATTGAAAAAAGAGAATACAAAATTATCCTATAATGATGGCAATTAAAGTTTTATTTATTACATTTAATATGAATTTAATTGAGAGTGATATAATGTTAATAGTAATAGAAAATAAATGTAATTAATTTAATTTTTTTAAATAATTCAAATATAATCAATGCATTGAAATATTTTAAAATTTAAATAAAATCAAATAAAATTAATTAAATCAAGGTACATGTCGATTGTTTAAGATCATCTATATGTCAAAATAATAGACCATCCACCTTGGATTTTTTCATTTTTTACTAAAAATTTTGACTTTTATATATTTATATAAGATATAAAATTGAAAAGTGATTTTTTTTACACATGTAATTTAAGAGTTGAATATTATAATTGAAAAAAAAAAGAACACAAAATTATCTTATAATGATGGCAATTAAAGTTTTATTATCTTTAATATAAATTTAATTGAGAGTGATTTAAAATAAATAATAATAGAAAATAAAAGTAATTAATTTAATTTTTTTTAAATAATTCAAATATAATCAATACATTGAAATATTTTAAAATTAAATAAAATCAAATAAAATTAATTAAATGCAAGACATATGTTGATTGTTTAAAATTGTCCACATGTCAAAATAATAAACCATCCACCTTGGATTTTTTTTCTTTTTTACTAAAAATTTTGACTTTTATATATTTATATAAGATATAAAATTGAAAAGTGATTTTTTTTACACATGTAATTTAAGAGTTGAATATTATAATTAAAAAAAGAAAACACAAAATTATCTTATAATGATGACAATTAAAGTTTTATTACCTTTAATATGAATTTAATTGAGAGTGATTTAAAGTAAATAATAATAAAAAATAAACGTAATTAATTTAATTTTTTAAAAATAATTCAAATATAATCAATACATTCAAATATTTTAAAATTTAAATAAAATCAAATAAAATTAATTAAATGCAAGACATATGTCAATTGTTTAAAATTGTCCACATGTCAAAATAATAGATCATCCAACCAAGATTTTTTCCTTTTTTGTCAAAAACTTTGACTTTTATATATTTATATAAATGTAATTTAAGAGTTGAATATTTTAATTAAAAAAAAAGAACATAAAATTATCTTATAATGATGGAAATTAAAGTTTTATTTCCTTTAATATGAATTTAATTAAGAGTGATTTAAGATAAACAATAATAAAAAATAAATGTAATTAATTTAATTTTTTAAAAACAATTCAAATATAATCAATATGTTGAAATATTTTAAAATTTAAATGAAATTAAATAAAATTAATTAAATCTAAGACTCATGTCAATTGTTTAAGATCATCCACATGTCAAAATAATAGACCATCCACCTTGGATTTTTTTTTTTTTTTGCCAAAAGATTTGGCTTTTATATATTTATATAATATTAAAATTGGTATAATTTATTGTCTTACAAGAATTTTTTAAAATATTAAATGTAAACTTTTCAAAATAAAGGATATATTACATAAATAATTAATAACCCATTATAATTTTTTTTGCATAAATTACTCTTAATTTATAAAAATCTCTCATATTCGTATTATAAATAGAGAATCTTGTATGCTAAATTACTAAGAAGTTACTCTTCATAACCCTTCAAATTTATCGATTTCATTATGATCAAGAAAATTTTGATCACCAAGTTACATGGTTTTTTATGTTCATAAACTTTTTTTCTTTATCTTGTTTGTCGGTTGATTTTATTTTTCTTTTATTCACTTTTTTATGCATGTTCATACTCTATTTATCTATTCATTTTCAAAATTAACCCTTTTTTTTATTTTTTACTTTTGAATGAAATAGTTTCATATGTTTTTTATTTTTAGTTTTTAGTTTGTCAGATTTTTCTTCATGACTAATAATAGATAATTTTTACTTTTAATTATTTATTAATTTATTTATTAATACTTAACTAAATTTATTCATTAAATATTCTAATTATGATTTTTAACTTTATTTTTTTATGAGTTACTTTTATTTATTACTTTAATTATCACTAATAATATGCATTAAAATTAATTTTAAATTTGAGTTTGAAAATCAACTTAATAAACAATTATTATGAAATATATATAATCTAGTAGGTCTGGTAATTTTAAATACGACTTGATAAAACAATACTAAAGCAAAGAAAAAAATAAAATAAAAAAGTGACACTGTTTAAGATTTTAGTAAAACCATATAAAGTTTAGCAAAAAATATATTTTGTATTTGACATGTTCACATGAATTATAATACAATAATTTTCATGTGTTTACACATAATATTTGACAAAAAATAAACAAATACGAATACACATTTTCATGTCTTTGTACATCACACCAAGAATGGACAACATTACCTTAAGGTAGTGTTTTATATAGTGTGATCATTCCAAAATCTAGGTTAATCTACTCATGGTGATTAAATCACTATATTTGTCTATTTGATAAGCACTCGGTGATCTTATATAACAGTGATTTTAGATCACTAATAGTGATCAAATCACTATTTTGGAGAATGATCTAATCCCTGTCTAAAAGGATTAAAAATTTTTATCATCGAAGTAAAGTTATTTATAAAATTAACAATAATCAATATTATTCATTAAAATCTTGCTTCCTCTTACAATTTTAATTATTTTATATTATAAATTTTTATATTTCAAATTAATATTCATTATAACAAATTCAAAAATAATGTGTATTTTTAATTTTTTAATATTTTATATATAATACAATCTTTTTGTTTTTCTTTTATTATGAATTTAATAGAACAATTTTATTTTTTAATTCAAATGTTTTTACATAATTTATATTATAAAAATTAGTTTACATATCAATAAATATAGTTATTAAATTAATAAGTTAATTATAATTTATTATAAAATAAATAAAATATTACTAATATTTTACAAATTATTATCTTTAAACTATATTAAAATCATTAACATATTTAACTATTACAATATACATAGTTATTTTTATACTTTTAAACAAAATAATGTTTAATTTTTAATAATAGAAAATATGATGATCTTTAATTTTTAAGAATTAACGATTTTTAACCAAACAAAGTAATTTCAAATTTTAAGTGATAAGATAACCAAAGTAATAAAATCACCCGAATAAACCACAAAATTTGAGAAAATGATACTTGGTCTCAAATGGCGAACAAGATTAAAAAAGAAAAAGACATTTGATTGTATATGAAGCCATTGGTAATTAATAAAAAAACAAAACAAAACAAAGGTTGATTGAAGGGGAAAGATTTACTTTCATTTATTTGAAACCATACAATATTTGTAATTTTAATGCAAAGCTGTTTAGTCTAGCTGATGGAAAACTAAAATATCATAAATATTTCAATCCTAATCAATTATTCTTTTCTTCAAGCATTTGATTTCCGTCTCCTGATTGAAACAAGGCTATTTACATAAGCAAGAGTTTGAAAAGATTTTGGAACCCCATAAATTTGAAGATTCCTGATTTCTTTTGTGATGAAGTTGTAGGACACTGCCTGTCCATCAATTCCTTCCATCAGAATCTCACCATCATTTTTCCAAAACATAAATGGCATTTCAACTCCTGTAAGTGGTCCAATGGTTAATTTTCTCGTCCAAGATTCCTTCACCCCATATTTTTCCATCACATATATCTGAAATGATTTTTCAATTCCTTTTCCTGGATAGACGATCAAAGCAAGGCAACCATTCCAAACCAGGAGACTCTTGCAGATAGAATTATCATCAATGTAAAGAAAATCAGGCATTGATATTCTTTGGAACTCCTCGTCTCCCATGTTGAATGAAAGGATGACTTCGTTATTGTTATAGTCCATAGCATGCCAATGAAATGCTCCATTAAAGTAAGTCTCAAAACAAGGAGAGTATTGAACATTGGCAGGGATCTTAACATTCTTGATTTCTCTCCAAGAATCAGTTCCCATGGTGTATACTTCTACCCTGGAAAGTTGGGGTAAACCGTCTCCAAACTCCCCCCAATATGACACAATCCTAACAACCTTGTATTGTTGATTTTTGAGGTCATAACCAAATCCCAGGCCATTGGTTTGGGGAATCAAATTCGGGTTCAAAGACAAATAAAGGAGACAGGATTTGGGAAGAACCATGGATTCTTTGGTTGCAGGGTTACATAGAACTATGTCATCTCTATAATTTGATAGACAAATAATGCCATCACATTGACCTAAAAGTTGTAAATATGGCTCTTTCTTATACAAGGGTACATCAACAGCTATATTTACAGAAGAAAAATCCTTGCTGCTGACCAATGAGAACATATTTTCTTTCTTGCCTAAGCATGTTAACAGGCAACGCTTGATAAGAACAAATTCATTGTTGTTGCTGTTGTAGCTAAGGTGCATGGAAATGAATTTAGGATGGTTAATGAGAGCATACCATGATTTGCATACGCACTTGAATCGCGTCAAAGATTTTACTGGCAACCGCAGAAGGATTTCGAGGAACAAGTCACTTGGCAAATTACCAAAGCCCTGCATGTTGGCTCTTCCTCCTTGTTCCTCTCCTTTTTCCTATTATCAAATGTCAAAACCCCACATTTATATCCTCTTATTGTTACCCACAGGTTCAAAGAAAACAATATATACATGCATCATATCTCTTATAATATCTAGTTGTGTGGTAGAGAAAAAAGAAGGAGCGCTCTTACCAAATATTATTCCATATTCCTTTTCAACTTTTAGCATAAACTTGTTATCATTTTAAAAAAAGTAGAACTAGTTGCAATAAAATTTTTACAGGCAATACTGACATAGAATCCTATAATATTACCTAATCATCCAATCTCAGTCTGGAATCTTGGATTAAAATTAATGTGGGGTTTGACAACTATGTACATTTGTAAGGATTCTAAACTTATGGATGAGTTTTATTCTTGCTGCCTTACTTGCAAAGTTGTGGCATATACCTTAAGCACTGACTCTTGAAGAAAGATTAAGGAAAATGTTGTCTCAGGGAATGTATTATATTCTTTTCTTCTCATTCTTTTTCTAAATACAATTCAATGAGCATATCAAAATATTCTGATGCTAAACTTCCCTAATTGGTTAGAGAGAATCTCTTGCTATCATGTTTTGAAAACACAATAATCACTCATGGTATAATAATAATAATAATAATAATAATAATAATAATAATAATAATAAAAGTAACAGTATTATTATTCTCTTGTCACATTTCTTATGGCTTTTTCACAGGAGAAACCTGTGCAATCTTCCATCAGGAGCAAGGGAAAACAGGACAGATTCTTTAAAACAGAACTAAGAATAAAAAGAAGAGGAAACTGTATAAAACTTTCAATTTTATTATTTTCAAGTGTTGTATGTTATTAATCCAAAAGAAACTGTGTCCTCGTATTATTTCCCAGAAAGATGACGAAGTCCATACTAGGCTACCAGTTTAAGCAGGGAGTGCACTCTCTGAAATGAGATCAAATGATATTTCATTCTCCTGCAACCTTTCTTAGAGATCTGGACCAAATACAATCCCAGGGGTAAAAACTCCTCCCTTAGGCAGGTTTTCATTTTGGCTCAAATGTATGAGAGCACATTGAAGTAGCACTATAGGAGGAGTCACATAGCCAATCTCAGGTCCCATTACTCTTGTTATGATTTGCATGTCAGGTTTTCAGTTTCTTTCTGAAGGAAGGCTGTGTCACTAAAACCATACCTGACAAACCACATCTTAAATGATGCACTTCTCACCTTATCCTCAGAGGGACCTGTCTTTCGAAACCATCCAAAGCTAACAAGAGAAGCCACCTACCAAAATAAGTTATACTTAAGAGCCCAATGAACATCCCCACTCCGATGATTCAAGAGATGCCCAACAGGGATTTAGATCCTATTTTCACGCCAAAATGAGTTGGCCTCACTGATGACCAGAAGGCCTCCCTCTTTTCAGTATGTTCAGCATTCTCATTAACCCCAGGGAGACCATGTGGGTTCTCTATCAGACTAAAAAGAGTCCTTCGAACAACTAAAGCATCTGCTGAAGGTAGCTTTACAGCCTTAAGGCCAATCTTCTCCTGGTGTTCTATCATTGGTCCTTTAGGAGGATGTGGGCCAGGAATCTGCAACCATACAATAGTAAACCATCATTACAGGACATTGTAAGAATTATCATCTACCAATTCATAATTATCAATATTGAATATTTAAGATTTAACTGAAGAACCAATGATTCAGAAACTAATGAATCAATTTGTTTGGGGAAAGAAATCATTTTTGGTTCTCAGTCAATGAAAATTTTCCAAATTACAGCTCTCTTCACTGAAATGAAAATTTTGACAAAGCCTATGACTTAATAATGTGATCCATCAGTCAAGAAGCCCCAGATGGGATTCACATGAGCCTTGATGTAACAGCATCATATAAGCCTTGGGAACAAGGATTCCATGACCTCTACCAGCAACAGATCAGGACTAAGCAAAGTATATTTTCTCACACTCAATGTTAGATGCATTATATTGCAAACATGATTCATATAATATCATAGAATTCCAGAAAGAATTATGAAACCAAATCTCACATGGTATTGAAAACTAATAGCAATACTCATGTCAAATATTGAACTATATGTTAAAGGATGTTATCACAATTCATAGGCAACACTATTATACTCCCACCTTTGCCTCCAACTGCAACTAGCTTGGCACTTCTGTCAATCGTTTTTTTGCAAACAATATTGTTACGATTCCAACAGCATCACCGAATCATAGTAACTTTCACCAGTAATCTCATCTCTTTCGGGCCAGTAATCTCATCTCTTTTGGGCAGAAGCATTATTCCTACTATACATCTCTGTGCCCTAAGAAGTAAGAATCAATGCCTCCTCTGTAAAAATGCATGAAATGTCAAGGTCTTTCCTCAAAACATCAGCATCATTATACTACCAAGAGCACAGCAACTATCATCATTGTCTATACGTACCCAACGATATGTTACTATCAGTCTACTCTCTTTTATTACTGCAGCCGCCTAGGCCAACATTCACTAGCACCATCTTTTAAGGGCTGCAGCCACCTAGTCCTACTTCATTACCACCAATCATGACTACTGCATAGGTTGATGGTGAATGAAGAAATGGCTACCATGGTACTACTACAGCAACCATTTTCACTGCTACCACCAATATGTTCCTTTGGCTTCATTTTCACCACCAATATTCCCACCATGTTTAAGTCATCAGTAGCAGATCTGCCATTATAGTTGGTAGTATGTGTCACTACATAAACTAGTAGCAACTTGCCTTGAAACAAATTAAAAGTAAACCAGGTATCACTGAGCATCATGTCGAAGTTGCATGCACACTGTATAACAGTGCAAATATAACATTTTTGGGATCAGCCTTCTTGCTTAGTGATGACCCACATAGACATACATACCATGGAATGAAGTATAATTTAGATTGCCAGGTAAAGTGAGGATGCCGTAAAGCTAGTTGCATTAGGACAAAGAGATTGATTACCTAAAGTCTGAATTTCAATATAACTAGAAAGAGACCCACGAGTTATTTGTCCTTCTCTATTTCCAAGCCAACCAAATAGAGCACAAAATTAAATAATATTACTACAAAGAAAAAAAAAATCACTTGTAGTGACATAAGGTCAGAAACTAAAATCAAGCAAGGGCACCGTTGAATTCCTAAATACCTAAAAAATCATAACAGACATCCTGCAGCCAACTAATGTCTTCGACAAACCACGAAACACTAACATATCACCAACCAACAAAAATAGAGAATAACTGCTCACCACTGGTCTAGGTCTCTCGGGTCTGGAACGCCTCAATTCCTGCAACTTATCCATTTTCGCCACACCCAAAACTGCTGATTCATATGTTGCAAAGTTCCCAACAATTTTTTTATCAGACTCCAAACTCACATATGCATCAATATTGTTTGGTACAGCAGGATGCACCCACTGCCTGGAATTGAACATAACCCCCATTTCAGCAGGAATGGAATCAAATCCACATGCTGAAACAACCAATGAACCTGTCTCCAGAGCCTTTTTATGGTATTTTGCCTCGATTCTTTCCATGAACTCAGGCTTCCCACTTATATCCAAATAATCACACCTAGCATAAGCAAGAAAAAAAGTTTAAATAAACTAAAGAAACACTTATTATAGAAATAAAATTAGAAATTGGAGAGAACAATGGTTAGAGTAAGAACAAGTAGTTGAACTGATTCAATCCTTTAAGGAAAATAAGCGAAGAGAAACTTACACTGAACAGAATTCATGATTTTAAAACTAAACCCCATAAAACAGACCAAAAGATCACAACTTTATGCATAATTAACATTCAAGAACCTTTAAAAAAAAACCCCACATTCCTGATTCCACCAATTAACAACAAACCAAAGACATACAAATACACGAACAAAATTACATGTAACTTTCAAGAGACCAAAAGGGTACCTAAAATAGGTGAAAGCCGCAGCACCAGGCTCACCTTGAAGGCAACAGGGGCCAATGTAGTTATCATCGTTTAATTTAGTAGATTCCCCCCAAATATCAGTATCCAATTCAAGATTCATTCATTTCCACCATGCTCATAAAATTACATTCGTTTCAACAATAAATCCTCATAAAACAAGCTAAAAGATCACACTTTTATACATCATTAGCACTCAAGAATCCTTAAAAAACCCGAATTTCCACCATTTAACAACAAATCAGAAAAAAAAAAATCGAAATGCACAAACAAGAATATAAAAAAGTCAAAACGGCCAAAAGGATACCCAGAAGAGGTGCAAGCAGCAACAACAGGCTCACCATGGATCCTAAATGGTCCAACACAATTAAGGAAAACCTTAGTTTGAGTAGAAAGACTCAACAGTGAAGGTGGTTCAGTAGTATCAGCAGTGATAATAGTAATATATGGAGAAGGAGAGCTAGGATGAGCTGCCCATTGAAGAGTTTTAACAAGCTTTTCATTGCTACGGCCAGCGATGGCTAAAGTTTTAAGAGGAGAAGATGGGGTGTTGAGGAACTTTAAGGCCTCTTTTACTACATATTTGCACGTAAAGCCTGAGGCTCCTAAGATGATTATGTCATAGAAAGGATGGGTCTTTTGAGGTGCGTTGTTTGCATGGTTTTTTTTTTTTTTTTTCTTTTGGTTTTGCTGGAAAATGAAAGTGGAAGAGGCAAGGACAGAATTGGCTATGGAGGTCAATGCGTTGAGAGTTTTAGCCGCGGTTTTTGCCTATTAATTACGTGGATAAATGCTTCTTAAGTTGTGCGTGAGTTACAAGAAGTCCAGAACCCTATTAATATAAGGAGGATTAAGGCCAAATTTGTAATATTAAATTTTATTAATTTTTTACATTAAAAATAAAATAAAATACTTGTTATAAAAAATATTAAAATATTTTAATTTTTATTTAAGAATAAAAAATATATAAAATAATTAATAAATTTTAATAAAATAAAAATACATGAAATTTTTAATATTAAATCATAATACAATGACAAATTTAATCTTATTCCCAAAATAATTTGAATAATTTTATTAAAATTTGAGCTAATTAATGGATTTGTATTATATTTTACTTTGACAATTCCATGAAACATGTCTTTCTTTTTTAGGTGAAACATAAAATATGTGTTTTTTTTTTTTTTTGTTGAAGAAATTTGTCTTTAAAAATTACTTTTACCACTACTTTGATGGAAAATTTTTCCTTTATTCTAGATATTAAAAAATTTTATATTAATCTTTTTCAAAGAAGTTTGATTTAGTTATTTAGAAAGTGATCTGTTTATAGATCAAGTCCATGAAATATGAATACCTCTACAAGTTACTAATTTGATGAAAATTTTAATATTTTTTTTTAAAGAAGCTTGATTTAGTTGTTTAGAAAATGATCTTGCTTCCAAAATAAAAAGAATTATTTAGAAAATGGTCTGTTTATAGAACAAGTGCATGAAATATTAATACCTCCACAAGTTACTACTTTGATGAAAATTTTCCTTTATTCTAGATATCATGAAAATTTTAGATTAATTTTTTCAAAGAAGCTTGATTTTGTTATTTAGAAAAATGATCAGGGACAAGGATGACTGAAGTTAATTTAATTAGATTATATAGATTCAAATCTGCTTAAGAGTTAATGAAAAGAAAATTTTTTATAAATTTATTAAATCCGACGTAAATAAATTTATTTAGATCAATTAAAAAAAATGTACTAAGTGAAGCCTAAAAGCCTTTTATTGCTAAAATAAAGTTAATTTAAGTGGTAATACTTTTTATTATGCATTGCCAAAGTAATGTAATTAACCTTTCATGGGCCTGGTTCAAGAGTGCCAAGAAACACTTGGTTTAATGACTTCAAAAGAAAAGATCATGCAAGGAAATTTTATTGAACCAAATGTTGTTTGTTGCTGTGATACTGTTACCAGTAGTCTCTCAAAAATCGGTTTGCAGACTACTATTATACTGATATATAGCATTCAAACTTCAAAGGAATGTCTACAAAAGAAACTTGGTTCAAGGACTGTGAAGAAAAATCATTATTGAAAATCTTTAGCATCTTTTTTTTTTTTTTTTTGTGTGGGGGAAATAGAGCACTCAATGTAACTAGATTACAGACAATAGAATTCTTTCTGTTACTGATTATCACTCCCTCAGCTCTTGCTTTTTTACCTTGGAATAGTTCAATGCTCCCTGATTTAGTTCAATCAGACTATATCCTGCAGCCTTCTTCAAACCCTTCTTCTTCGCCATGTTCCTTGTTCTGGCTGCTTCATCCCATTTTCCACTTTCTGCATATAAATTTGATACTGAATTATATACACTTGCGTTCTCAGGTTCTAAATCCAAAAGGCAATTTCCTATAACCTCCCCCAGTTCTGTATTTCCATGCGTTCTGCAAGCAGCAAGCAGAGCACCCATTGCAAACGCACTTTGTCTAGCAGGCAGCAATTTAAGCAAATCATATGCTTCTTCGAGGCGTCCTGCTCGGCCTAATAAATCCACAATGCATGCATAATGCTCTTCAGAGGGACTTATACAATATTCTTCTCTCATGCAGTTAAATACTTGCAGACCCTCTTTCACCAAGCCGGAATGACTGCAAGCAGTAAGTATTGATGTAAAGGTTATGTCATTGGGTTTGATCATCTCCCTTTTCATTCGATCAAATAGTCTGAGAACTTCTATGAAGTTCCCATGCATCCCATACGCAGCAATCATCGTGTTCCATGATGTTAGACACCTTCTAGTGGTGCACTCAAATAGATTTCTGGCCATATTTAACTTTCCCAACTTGGCATAAGTAGTTATCAGGGAATTTATTAATAGCGTGTCTCTTTCCATTAGAGCTCGATATAAATGACAGTGAACTTCCTTTGCTAGACTTAGATGTCCAAGCTGTGAGAATGCCTGGAGTAAACTTATCAGAGTGACAGAATCATGGTCTAGTCTTTCTTTTTTCATCATCCAGAACAATATGATGGCTTCATCAGCATGCCCATGGTAGATATAGCCCATCATCATTGAAGTCGATGAAATCAAGTCCTTATATCTTATCCGGTCAAAGACTTGCCTTGAATCATAAATACAACCGCATCTTGCATACATGTAGACAATTTGATTGGCAACTTCAGTATTCATATGAAACAAATGTCTCAGTATGTAACCATGAACACTCCTTCCTCCTCTTACATTCTTCAGCTCTGACAATGCAGAAAGTACACTCAGGATCGAACCTAGGTTTGGTTTAATACCAATTCCAACCATTTCAGTAAAAATGTTCAAGGCATCAGAAGTAAATTCATTTTGAATATAACCTGCTATCATGACATTGTACGAAATTACATCTCTTGTCTCCATTACATCAAATAATTTCCTAGCTTGGATCAAATTGTGGCACTTGGAGTACATATCGACCAAAGCAGTAGTCGCTACTAGATCAAGCTGGTAACCTATCCGAATAATGTGACCATGAATACTCTTGCCTTCTCTCAAATAATTCAAATCAGCACAACAGAAAATCCCATTGGCTAAGCTAATCAAATCTGGAAAAACATTTTCTTGTACCATCGTACAAAAATGTCCCAAAGCTTCCAAGGGCAGCCCCATATGAAGATATCCAGTTATCATAGCATTCCAAGAACAAATTGTTCTTATCTTCATTCTTTCAAAAATGCATGCAGCCATTGTTGGTACCCTGCATTTAATATACATGTCCATGAGACTTGTCTCAAATACTTCATCCAAACAACCAATCCCTCTTCTAATAGCATATCCATGGATCGACCTGCCTTCTTTCAATGCTTCCAACTCTGCTGCTGCCTGCAACAAACTCACCATTGTCACCTTGTTGGGATCAATCTCTTCCTCCTGCATGCGGCAAGCAAATTCAAAAGCCTCATAGGCGAGCTGACCGCCAACTTGTGCATATCCAGTTATCATTGCAGTGTAAACAACAACATCTTTTTCAGCTATTTCATCAAACACTTTGGAAGCACCATCCATATCTTCATACTTTGAATATAATCCTATAAGTGAAGACCCCACAAATCCATCTTTACTTAACCCAAACTTAAAAGCATCAAGATGAACTCCTTTCCCAAATTCAAAATTGCCCATTTCAACACAACTTTTCAAAACAAAAGTAACAGCTGAAGTATTTAAACCAATCTTTTTTTGCTTCAAATTCAAATACAGCCTAAGAACTTCATTATATTGACCACTTCTAAAATACCCAACAAGGACTGAATTCCAAAGAAAGAGATTATTATTGATAATTCTATCAAAAATCCGTCTTGATTCAGCTAAAAATCCAAACTTTGGATAGCAAGTTACAAGCTTCGAGCCTAGAAAAGTACTTTGACAAAGCCCATGAGTTAAAACACAAGCATGGAGCTTTCTCAAGGAAGCAATATCTTTACAGTTCTCCACTAACGAAGCAAGTTCTTCCACTTTATTGCTAGTTGAATGATAAAGGAATAGATTTTGAGAATTAAAAGATGGCATTGGGTTGTTTCTTCGGAGAAGTGAAGATATTTTAAGTATGAAAAAAACCATGCTTAAATGTAGAATAAGTGATAAAATGATTGCGCTTTATTGCGCTTAGAAAGGAATAAGAAAAACCCAGATGGGAAATCAAGCCATTTCTTTGAAGCTTTTGATCCTTTTTGCAGTTGAAATTCGCAACTTGCTTTTAGAAAAAGGATAGAAACTACAATATGAATTTAGGGTGGTGGCTTTTAAGTTCTAACAAGGAGAAACAAGGCTTTTTCATGTGAGAAACCAAAGTCTTTCTCTCTTTCCTAGCACCGTTTTTTTCATTTTCATTTCTTTAAAGGAAGAATTATGAACAATGGAGCTAAGAAGAAAGAATTTTTTGGACTAGACTTAATATCCAACATGAAGATGTCATGTCAGGGATATGTCACGTGAGGATAGTTTTTTAACTCCTCTGTCCCAATTTTTATTTATTTATTTTTTTTAGAATATCTTAAAATTATATATATATATATATTAATATCTAAAACTCTTTTTTTTATATTTTAAAATTATATTTTAATAATTTTTTTTAACTTTTTGACATTAAAAGTCTGCAAACTTTAATTTTATAAAAAAATTTAATTTTAATGTTAAATATACTAAAATCAAAATATTTTTTTAAATTTCATAAAAATCAATACCATCCGAATAATTTAAAACAGAAAAAATGTTTTTTAAGGAGAAAAGATTCAAATTTCTCTTAATAAAAACATTACGCACTAATTATTGAATCAAATAGTAAAATATATGTATAATTCTTAGTAAATGATCATAAAATAGCAAAATTAGCTTTCAAAAGAGTTTATTTCATTATCTATATTAAATGGTTCAAAAAACAAGCAATTGAACCAATAGAGGACTTTGTTGCAAAAATGAATTGAGTTGAGCCACACTTTTGAAGGTGATGGAGGAAATATTGGATTCAGAGCTTGAATGGCCTATTCAGCAGTGTTTGCTATGCATGGAAACAGGATCAAAACAAGTGGTGGAATACAATGCAACGCAATGCAATGAAGGAGCCTGCAAACTTTACGACATCATATCAAATAAAGTTGATCAGCGAAGAGCAGAATTATAAGCAAGAGCTGTTTAACTGTTCTTGCACACTCTCAAACAATCCTTCAGAATATTTTACATTCTACATTGAAAAATTTTCTGTCTTTGTGTTCATATTCTGGTTGCATAAGGGACAATGCAACTTATTATGAATCACTCAGGAATCAGGATACTGTGAACTATAAGAGAAAACCCAACTATGCTTAAAAAGAGGAAATGAAAAGAAAAATGTACAATGTGGATCTTTCCGGCTGGGAAAATCTGGCTATAGCAAAGCCATGAGACGAATTTCCAGTTCACTCTGAAATGACAAACTGATCTTTCTTTCATTATTTTGTAACTAGAGGAGGGCTGCTAATCAGGCTTCTCTGACGTGGCAGACGCCTGGTTCTCTTCCCCCATCCTGTTAGGCTTCTTTCTTCAAGTCCTGTTTTTATTTGCAGAAGCTGGTTCGAACAGTCTTCAGTCGTGGTGGGAGGAGCAGACCCCCCTGCTCGCTTCCTTCCCCTACTCTTAGCATTATTCTTCTGTGTCAAACTCGACTGCCAATTTCCACCAATTGCCCTAATTAGCCCTTCAATCATCTGAAAATCCTCAGTCACCTCATTTCTCGACAGAGAAGTAAGATTAGGAAGTACATCTCTCTGAAAGTCCTTCCGCTGCCTTCCTCGCCTTGCCTGTCCTCTCCGTGGCCGTCTTGGAAGTGTGTCTTCACTTTTTTTGTTATCTTGAACTTCAGGCTTATAACAACACTCCTCTACTTTGGTTTCTGACAAATTTAATGTCATGAACTCAAAAATATCAATCCCATCCGGTGCTGAGTCGTCAAGGCATGCACCATTGGCTGATCCAACATCATTCTCAGTATCACTCCAGCTGGAAGTAGCTATCTCTGCAAACCAATGAAGGGAATCACTTGCTGATATCTCCAATGGGTGAGAGCCGGCATTCTGCAGAAGATTAATCACACAGGATGATGATATGGCAACCAGTACCTCAGCTGCCACAGAAACACTCGAAAGTCCTTGAGACTCACTGATTTCATCATGTAGCAAGGTAGAAGATTCTGTAAGGTTGCTTTCAAAAGATTCACAACCAGAAGAAACCTTAGTTTCCATTTCAATGGTCAGTGGCACCTCTAAATCTGTCTTGGCAATCCTCACATTGGTTCTCATAGAAGAGGATGTTGATTGAACATCTTCTTCTATCCCTTCTTCAATAACACACAAATTCAAATCAATCTGTCTGACATCAGCATTCTGATTAACTGATCTCTTCTCAGCTAGACATTGCTGTTCACATTTGGGTGGCGGAGGACCATGAGTCATAACAAAGTTAACACCATCAATTGCAGAAGCAAGAGAGCCTGGCTTTAAGGGGGAGTTGGGCGAAGGCAGATCTCTGCATACATTTTCAGAAATGGAGAATCCAAGAAGCTTTGTACTGCTTGAAGAGCAACTAGTATCACTTTTCTTGTGCTTTGCATCATCAACGCAAGTTGCTGCCAAGGAATCTTGGATTCTCATTGCAGTTTTGTCAATAAATTGCTGAGTGCAATTTTGCAAGGAATCCAAATTTATTTGAAGAGAACCTTCAACTTCTTTGACAGGTTTCGTATTTGTGGCTCTTAACCAAGACAATCCTCCATCTGAGTTCTGCTTTATTGATCCATTAACAGAAACAAAGTTGGACTGAGAAATTTCTTCATTCTGATAACCATCCACAGCCATTGCACGCATATTTAAATCTACTGAAGACTTTGCCTCCATCATCCATGGTAAAAGTTTGAAGCCAATTTTAGGACTATGTTGAGCAGATTGTTTAGAAGCAAATATACTCTCACTGATGCCATTTCGGTTGCAGAAGCTGACCGATGAGCAGCAACAACGTGATTCCTTGGAATCAGATGGACAGCCAGAGTGAAAGTCATTTTGAGGTGGTACTTCAGCTCTAAAACTTGGAAGAGATCTTGAATTGCTATCAGCAAGCAACTTTCCCCTGACAATGTCATGACCCTGAACCAAGGCTGTTGAACAAGCATTAAGTTGGCCATAGGTCCGAGAGCCAGGATTTCCTAATAGATTCTGGCTTAAGTTACCGGAAAACTTAGTACAAGTTGAAAAGGAGAGCATCTCAGAATTAGTTGTGTCTGACCGAGAACGAACAGGCAGTGGATCGAGTGCATGTGATGCAACAGCAGACGTGACATCACTCTTTTCAGGTATTTTTACGCCAAAAATTTTCTGTTTTCTAAATGCTTCTCTCTTATTCTGATCAGATAAAAGAAACATTGCAGAATTGGCCTTGGTAGTTTCAACTTGCACTGACTTACATGGGGTATGCAAATCTTCTGGATGAAAACTTCCGTTGCTTCTAGTTTGTCCTGAGAGTGTGCCAGACAAAAGTGTCAAATTGAATTAAATGATGTCGGTTGGCCAAAAAAAGAAAGAAGAATTGAATGATGTTGCAACACTAATAACTAAAACTGCTTTTAAATAAATAATAAATAATAAATCTTTTGCCGCTTTTGTATTAAGCACTGACTTTTTTGGTTCGGGGATTAAATGGAAAAGTTGTCAAAAGTTTAAAGGGTTTTTTTGGGGGTTAGTAAATTGAATGATATAACTACTTGTAATAGATGAAAAATTGAACATTGAAAGAGTTGTAGCAACATAGCTACATTACCATTTTCAAATTTATTTGAGAACCATCCATTTTGCCTCCTTTGATCAGCCTCCAAATGCAGAATGTTAAGATTGACTCCCCTCTCTCTTGTTTTGTGGGGTTCCTGGAAAACTTCTGCATCCCATTGGTGGAAGCCTCGATGTGAGTTAGAAATTGATGATAGATCCTTCCTTTGGACCTCCTCTCTGCAGCAAGTAATGTCACCTGGAATTCTAGCACAAGCTGAAGTAGATGCTTCTTCAACCAGGATAGGTTCATTCAAATCAGTGAAACCACGAGTTCTCTTTAAATTTAAATTGAAACTGGTAGCTTCACCATTAAAACTATAATTGCTATCGCAGTTCATAGATAAAATCGGATCCCTTTCATGGGGAATCTCATTACTCCTTTTTAAATAGTGACTTTCCAATCCTGGCACTGCAGAAACTCCTCGACCTCCCTCTTCATTGTTAATGTATTCTTGGGCTGGACATTCAAGGTCAAACAACATAGTCTGAACCTTGTTACATTGAGACTCCAAAGTTTCACAGTTCTTCAACTTTAATCCATTTTGAGTCAAACAGCCACGAGATTGTACAACATTCCCTTTCAAGGGACTAAACTGAGACTGGATGCTATGTGCACCAGAAGTAGATACTCTAAAACGATTTAAGTCCAACAAATATGATTTCGAAGTGTGCCACTTCTGCTGTTCATCCTCAGACATAAAGCTAGATGAAAAAGGGTTTGACTCTGATGTACCCCCAGGAATCAAATGTTTGTTTCCTTCTTTGCTCTTGATTTCATTCATCATATCCCTCTGTATCCTGTAAAGACGATGGAGTTCACGGAGCTGGATAAACAAATTTAAGCATCAGAGAACTGCACTGCAAATCGAGTTCTGAGGCTTGCACAGAACATCATAGTCCAACAAAGTTAATAGAAGGCATACCTGATGCCTGAATATCGAATCATGCTTCAAGATAGTTTGCCTCATTTGTTCCTTATCATATCCTACAGCCAGCCTTGTCAGGAACAGATCATTGTACTGCCCTGAGTTCCTGCCTTCATGATGTAAAGGCCAGCCAACATTGCCAGTATTGCCATTTAGATTCCTCAAGGAATAGTATCCAGGAAGCTGCATGTTTGAATGTACTTCAGTTCCCATTCCTGCAAGTAACAAAAAAGAGGCATTGAATTACTGGGTAGTAAAACAAAACCTAAAAGACATACTTTGTATTTCTAGCTGATTCACTGGAGTAACCAATGGTTCATGATCAGGAAAACTGACAAAGATCCTTTCACAATGCCTAAAACAGACAATGATGCAGACAACTTCCATGTAATAAACAATCTAGAGCCATCGATCCATCTTTGCATAACCACCCCAGCATCCTTAATAATAATCAACTCCATATCGAGTGATTAAACTAACAGCAAGAAACAGAACCCAACATCAGAAGCAGACTATTCGCCGATTTTTATAGTATTTAAGGTCTTTTGTCTTTTATGTTGAGCGTTTCTGAAGTCAAATCATCAACTGAACGCCACAAACATGAATTGAACCACTGTTAGTACGATGGCTAAATCTATACGCAATCTAAAATAGACAAGTCATTATTGAATTGATGAGCAGGGAAATGCATTTGGAACAAACTCATAAAAAACCAAGCTGGATGCAGATTCAGAAGTCAAAGTCTACATATATGGTCAATCTGGATGATATCTGTGATTTCAATGAAGTTTCCTCACACAACCCAAAAAAAAACTCAAGATAACAAAAAAGAACAAACAAACACCAGGAAACAGGCATCTGAGTGCAATGCTAAAACTAAAATTTAAACAAAACCAAGAAAAAAGAAAAGGGCACATTCCAACAGATAATTAAAGTAGATTTTTCCCAGGATATTTAAATGATCAAATAAAGAACGACAAAGGACTCAAGGAAAGGAAAACTGAATCTCCCAAACCCTTGTTAAACTTATAAAAGATATATATAGTAATAAAATTTACTAATAGTAATGGCTACCACAGCTAGAAACATAGAAACTCAGGGTCAGACAGAGAGAAAGAGAGAGGAAAAACCATACAATCGAAGCACCAAATTATTCAAGCTGAAAAAGGGAGGAAAAAGAACTCCAGATATAATAAATAAACAGAATCAATTATACATCCTTTAGAAAAAAAAAAATTACCTCATAATTATATTCTTTGCCAACCTTCCTATCAGAAACTGCTTTATAAAATCACCAAATTATACAGAAAATGACAACCACCAAGAATCCAACATGCTTCCTGACAATTCACTGTAGCAGTACAGAAAAAAGGTACACAAAAGAAGTAAAACAACCCATGATCTAAATGAACCAAAATATTAAAAAAAGGGCCTTCTGGAGCCTAAACAAGGAATTGGGTATCTGAGAAAACCGGCCATTGAAGAAAAAAAAACAAGAAAATTCTCAGATCATGGTCACTCTAGAAAAAAAAAAAAAAAAAAAGAAAGGGCAATTCAAATCTGCTGGGCCAGTATCTGATAAAAGAAAATAGAGAGATCCCACATCCCAGATAAGAGATCTCTAAATAATAAATAAGGGGAAAAAAAATCCCTTAACAACAACAATGACATCAAATTTGTCAATTTGTGGTCTCACTCATTATTCTATTAGAGTTTGCTTCATCTATAGCTTTGTTTTCAATTAATGTAAATTTTTTTTTCTTTTTTTTTTCTTTTCTGGGCATGGAGGATGTGGAAGACATGGCATTTTTTTTTTTATAAGAAATTTTCGTTTTCACAATTTCTAGATTCTCTCCCACTTTCCATGCTTTTTGGGCACACATATATTTAAGAAAAATTCAGACACCTGGGCTTACTCAAACAACAACTCTCCAACATTTTCCATGAGCCGCTGACCCCACCGTTTCTTTCACTTGTATAAAAATCTTGTTTTCTGAATGACTCTGTCATCACCCCCACGCGCACTTTCAATCACATGAACAACAATATTTTCAGACAAAGTACAATGTTGTTGTTTTTTTTTTTTAATTTATATAAATTTGGATTAATTTCATTTAAATTATTTGGATTATTGCATTTGTTTGGTTGTTGGTTGGTTTGATAATTTATTTGACGATTATCTTTGTTCTTTAACTACAACCTACTCTTATATTCTATGTGTTATGACCAATCATGGAATCTTACGTTCATTAACAGATAAGCTCTGTGTCTTTTCCGATTGATGGGTTTATTATTTTTGGAACCACGTTGCATATTCCTCTCTTTTCAATCTCAATTATTTTCTCCTCTCATCATGAAATTTTAATTTATATAATTTTAAAAAATATTTAATATATTTAGGATTAAATTTTTTATTTTTAAATTATGATTTTTTTAAAAATTAATACAAATTATGTCAATAAACCGAATAACGAGTGAAATAATTTTTTCAAGAGTTATTCAAACTTCATTCAATCTCAATTATTCATATAATTCAACTCTTTTCTTAATTATAAACACATTATAATAAATATTAAATTTCATAATTAATATATATTTTTATTTAAAAGATTAAATTCAAATCTTTTCATCTTTAATATCATTAAAAAAAATGTTTAATGATTAAACCTAAATAGTTCACACTGAACAATCATGTGTTCTCTGAATTATGCTTTCATATTAGGTTTAAGGGTATACTTTGGTGTAAATCCAATATGCTTAGGATTCTTACCTAACTATTTTATTATCAAACTCATTTATTTTAGTCCAATAATGATCTTACTTCACAATTAATTAATAAAATTTTTTTAAGAGAATAAACGTGGATACATTTTTGTTATTATTTCTTTGGCATCTTCAACTTGTTTTAAATCATTTCTAATTGCTGATATTTATATTTGATTTTCCTATTCAAAAGCATTTCCAACTTATATAAAATTAATCTTTTTCAATAGAATAATAGGTTCGGGTCATTTCAGATTTAAAATTTTTTTTATTTGAGTTATCGGATTTAATTATTTTTTAAACTCTAAATTTTTAAAATTTTAAATTAAGTCAATTTAATTTTGAATTAATTTTTTAAATTAATTAAATTTAAATCATTTCATATTCGAATTAATTAAGTTTAGGTCATGTGAAATTCGAGTAGAACAAATTAAAATTATTAATTTTTTTATTAAATCTAATTAAATTATGTTTAAATTCAAATATATTGATGATTTTTTTTTTTTAATTCCAACAAGCTTTACCGGATTAACTTTTTGGCTTTGCAACCATCAACATAAAGGAAAGGCTAAAACGGAAGGATTAGTTGATAACAATTTTATTTAAAGCATATAACTGTAAGAGCCTTTACTACTTAAGAAATTAAATTTAATTCGATAAAATTTCTATTTGTACATATAATAATATCATTAAATTAAAAAAAAAAAAGGTTATATCTCAACAACCTCGCAACTATAAAAATTCCACAACTTTACTCAAGTTTGGTTTGAGTCATAATGTGAATTTAAAATAATCTTTATAAAATAAAAAAAATTAATTAAAGCAAGCATTCATTTACAAATTTAATTGGAACCTAACATTGTTTAAATTTGTTCGTCACAAAGCAACAATTGCTTGGTTGTTACAGTCAAATGTTTGCAGGTAAAATGAATACTTTAAATTTTTGTTTTTTAACCATTTCCCTGTACTTAATTTCTTTCCCCTCATTACAGTGAAAAAAAAAAAAAAGCCATGACAAGATCTTCAGAGTTGCTTTCCTTTTGACCAACTTTGTATCATAAACCAATTGCATTTTCAAGCAAAACCTTATCTAACTTGAAAGCCTGACAGAGTTAATAAATATTTCAAAAGTATCAATAAATGATTGGTTCAATTGATTAAGATTATTTTTTTTAATGAAAAAATTTTAAGTTTGAGTTTTGCTGGTGATCATTCGTTAAGAATATCTCGAATGTATGACTTACAATCAACTGTTTTAAACTGTCAGTGCAGTACACCTTGCTTTGTCCTAAAAAACTAAATAACTTATCTATCACAAATTTTTTTTACCAAAAAAAAAAGTTTCAAAATTATAAACAAAAGCTACTTTAAAAAGCATGTCTGTTTTAATGGAATAATCTTAAAAAAGATGAGATCAGTGCAAAAGAATGAACATGAACCAAAAAAAAAAAGGGGGAAGAAAAGTGTAATTGAAATGATTAACAAATATACTTGTTTTTGCAGCTTGAAATCTTCAAAATTTTGGGTTGGGACTTTAGCTTTCAAACTAAATTGGTGGGCACAAGAAATTTTAAATGTGATCTGATATGGTATTTTCTTTGATGGGGTTCCATTAAATACTGCTAATTTGTATGTACCATCCTGCAAATATTGCTTGGTCCCAATAAATAATAATATCTTCTTTACTCTTCTTATAGTTGGCAATAATTTAGTACCATCTACAATTGAAAAATTAATGATAAGTTTGTAGTTATTGATATTTTGTTGGGAATGCAATTTGAGAAACAACATGAAAATAATATAACAAAATAAATAATATAATTTAAAATTAACAAAAAATCATATACAAATTGTAATATTATAATTTTTATATTTTATACGTGTTTAAAACGAAACCATATAATATAAATATATAAATTGATAAATTTAATGTTTTGTTAGATTTGAATGAAATTTATAATTAATAGTCCATATATTATATGATCTTGACATCTCATAAATCTGGTTGAATCTATTCAATCCCCAATCAATTTTGGAAAACCCTTTTTGTTTAACTTGCCCACCTAACTAATAAAGCAGACATTTAAGATACAGCTATATATGCTACAACAAGGAGGACCGTCTCTAAATGTTTGTTACAGTTTGATAAATTGTTATTTGCTTGGTCAGTTGCAGACTGTAATGTGAAGTTATGATTTTAATTTACCAAATGTTTGGATGTTGTATTTGAGTATTTGATTCAATTTGATTCGAATCTTTTCGTTCTTCGATATCTTCGATATCGATGGTGTTTAAATCTTTTTAAAAATCGAATTCTAAGGTCAATAATATTTACATGAATGAAGAATTTTGTTGTTGTGAAGTGAAAAAAGAAAGGGAAAGATTTCATGTTGGAAATCTCTATAGATGATTATATAAAAAGAAAAAAATTATAATACCAATGAGTTATTAATTAAGTGAAACTGAAATCAATTTTAAAATTAAAAATTTCAAATTTGAACAATAATTTTAATTAAATATGATAATAGATCGAGTCAGAACGAATTTTTGTTCACATCGATTTTGACTTGACTCGGTCAGTATATTTATAAACTATAACTGTTTCGATCCGAAATTAATTAAGTAATTTTTATTTAATATAATATTAATAAAATATTATTTTTAATATAAATTATATCTTAATTATATATAAATATAATATTTTATTAAGTTAATATCTTAAATTAAAGAATTAAACAATTATTTTGTTAATATAATACTTATATAAAACTATAAAATTAAATAAAAATAAAAAATATATTTTTTATATATATCGAAGGTCGGATTTGTATTACCTAAAATCTGAATTCCACTTAAACTCAATTTTATAAAAAAAATCCAACTTGACTCAGGGTTAACTCTCGATTTAAAAAGAATTTGATCATATCAAATTAAAACGAATCAAATTTTGTCATATATAAATTATTTTGTTATTTTTAATTATAATAAAAAAAAATTAAAAGCATAATATCAAGTCATCAAGTTAAAGCATTAATCAACTTTTCTATATGGGGTCGGAAAGAGAAAAAAACCAAAATTTCTGGAGCTAAATGTGCAAACAACAATAGTAGCAACTTCATATGTATTTTTTTTTTTTTTTGGATTGGAATTTTGATTTCAAATCTCAAGCATCTCTTTGTTCAAATTTTAAATAGATGAGGAACGATATCCATTGCATACTTTATATGCCCCCACATTTCTTTTTCACATGATACTTTCTGTTTTATCTATGCACCTAAACAAAAGGCAATCTTAGTTTTGAGCATAGAATCTATTCTTCATCTTTGAAAACAAGTCAAAAAGTTATCAACCATAAATCAACTAGAAATATTTGGAAAAAAAAACAAGTGCTAAAAGTTTTATAATAGAACATATATTATACATCATGTTGCAATTGCAATTGCAAAACCAAGTGCCACCATTTTGATTATAATGAGAGGCATGTTAGGAGCAAGGCAATGGTCAATTGGTCATGCATGGAATTGGATGAGGCGCATAGATTTAGTCTCAATGCTATAAGCATTAGTTACTTGCATTTGGCAAAGTAGTGCAGATATATGAGATTTTTCCTGTAAAGTTGCTTTTCCTTTTCTAAATCACAGGCAAAGCATTAATGTTTTCCTTTTCACCAAACAATGGATAGGCAAAGCAATTCATGGCCCAAAGAAAAAAGGAAAAAGAAAGTGTTAAAGACAGTCCTGCCTCTGCTACAAAAATGTGATATGCTTCTCACCTTAACCAACTGGAATGCCCTCATTCCGCTTACCCACTATAGCAGACATGAGCCTGCATATTCTGTCAATAGTAAATGACATAGATATTAATCTAAAGTGTATTATGACTGAAACTAGTGCAGGGGAGGGGAGGGGAGGCTAAGTTTTTGGAGCAAGGACTGATATATTGATCGAGGATAACAGTAGGCATTTCCAGACATGCACTTCCAACAGCAAAAAAATGGCGGTGTGCAGCACATAAACATTGCAACAGTAGTATGATATGCAATGCCTACATAACACTTACAAGTGGAACAGATAAATGCAAAGAAAGGTGAGAGAGCACAGGTGAGGTGGAGAAAAAAGAAAGAAGAAGCCTATAGTTTATTCTGATCAATCATCCAACCATAGCAACAAACAATTCCTGGGACACATATTGGTGCTTAATCATCTAGTGAACAAAACCAATAACCTTGTAAATTTACAGCAATCTACCGGAGAAAAATCTGGTCAACAAAAAAAATGTACCAAAACTCTTGAGAAAGAAAGCTAGTAGACGTTGGGGAAAACAGGGTAATAAGGAAAGGAATTCCATTTAACATGGGAACGGTAAAAGGAGAAGTAGCATAAAAAAAATCATGAATTGTCAACTATTTGAAAAAATATGTAATACATTGGCATCAAAATATGTTTAAGTTTACAGAAATAATCATATAATAATAAACCATGCCCTCTATACCACACGCATCTACTCCTGCTTTTAATTTTGTACAAGTGTCAATCTCAGTAAAGAAAAGAACTTGACACTTTCTTCAGACACAGGCTTTTACAAAAGTGCTTGTAATTGTAACTAAACAATCTTGTAGGAGTGCATCTATCTAAATCACCACCTCACCAACTTCTATAGGCAAGGTTGCATCTTTGGGATGTACAACTTGCTTAAGCTCCTGACCCAACCTGTCAATCATTTGATATATTCTATCAAATTTAGGGTGTGATCTATCAAATACGGTGAACTCATGAACTTTATTATCTATTTCAATAGAACTTGCTCCTGATGGTTTTTGGACCCCTCTGCTCTTCATCCGAAGCCTTACACTTGCAACACTGTCCCAATCCCCTGCCACAGCAAAAATATTCGCTAACATGGAATAATTTCCCGGGTCTGTAGGATCCAATTTAAGAAGGTGATCAAGCACCTTCTCCGCAAGTTCTACAGCATCATGCAATCGGCATGCCCCCAAAAGTGTACCCCAAATAATGTCATTTGGTTTGAAAGGCATGGAACGTACAAGCCTTAAAGCTTCCTTCAAACGTCCTCCACGGCCTAAAAGGTCAATCATGCAACCATAATGTTCGATTTGGGGAACAATCCCATAACCCTTTTCCATCACATAGAAGTATTTTACACCCTCATCAATCAAGCCTGCATGGGTACAGGCACACAAGACACCAACAAAAGTAACTCTATCTGGCTGAAACCCTTCATTCTTCATTCTAGAGAAAACATGAAGTGCTTCCCTGCCACGCCCATGCATAGCAAACCCATGCAGCATGACATTCCAAGAAACCAAGTCTCTTTTTGGCATTCCATCAAAAACACTCCACGCCTGGTCTAGACTACCACACTTTGCATACATATCAACTAAAGCATTACAAACAACAATGCTACATCTAAACTTAAGCCTCTTTATTGAATCATGCACTTTTACACCCACTGCCAACAAACCAGACTCAGCACAAGCAGCCAATATACTAATAAAGGTTCCATCATCCAACTCCATTCCATTTCGCTCCATTTGATCATACAAGTCAACAGCCTCCTTTGCTAACCCCTTTTCTGCATAGCCAGATATAATTATAGTCCAAGGAACCAATGTCTTAACCGGCATCTTATCAAACAAAACTCTGGCCATACCCATATCCCCAGCCTTACTATAACCCATAACAATCGTTGACCAAGACACGACATTCCTCTGAGGCATCTTTTGAAACAATTCAAAGGCTTCCTTCATTTCTCCTGCTTTAACATAACCATCCAAGATTGTATTCCAACTAACCATATCTCTCTCAGGCATTTCATCAAACAACTTCCTAGCTTCCCTCAACTCCCCAACTTTCATAAACCCCGCCATCATAGAATTCCAAGAAACAACATCTCTATCTTCCATTACCGTAAACAACTTCAAAGCTGCTTTAATACCCAATTCTCCACACTTTGAATAACTATCAATAAGAGCATTGGGTACAAAAATATCACTCAAAAAACCATTCTTTTCAATCTGGGTATGTATCATTTCCACCATTTTCAAACCAGTACAAGCCTTTAAAAGAAGAGGGTAAGTAAAATTATCAGCCAAAATCCCATTCCTTTGCATTTCAAAGAAAATAGAAAAAGCTTGGCTTGGCTGTGAGTTTTGCACACAGGCTCTTATCAAAGTGTTATACAAGTGAACATTGGGGTCTTGAATTTGGTTAAAAACGTTTAGGGCTAAGGTTATTTGGCGGCAAAGAGAGAAAGCTGAGATTAACTTTGGAGCTACATAAAGGTGTTGGTGAAGATTTTGTTTGATTATTTGGGCTTGGAGTTGTTTAACATGGCTTAAGTTATTGCATTTAGGAAGGTCTTGGACTTTTTGCTCAAAGAATCTTCTTGTTGAGAACCACGACGGGGATTTAAAAGGGATGGACATGTGGTTTTGGAATGGTTTAGAGAGAGGAAAATGGTGGGAGTTTTGCATGGAAAATGAGGTTTTGAGTTGGGGATTTTGATAAAGCAAAAAAGGTTCGTTTTTTCAATGGGTTTTGCCAAAAAAGACAAACAAAAAAATAATTTTCAGCAGTAGCTCGAGCTGAAACTTTGACAGGGTTTAAAGACTTGAAGGTGAAGAGATAAGGCTTTTATGTTTTTTCTAGCCAAGATTTTTCTTTCAATTAGCCGTTAGATTTATTTTTGTGGGCTTGGTTCTATTGATTGATGGCCTGCTTTTCTTGCCTGAGTTTCCTCCTAATGGGAAGCATATTTATTAAAATTTTAAATAAAGAATACATTAATTGGTGGATTTTAGAGAAATGATAGTGGAAGATTTTAACTTTTCCAGGTCCAAACAGTTTGATCATTCATAAATTAAAATTATAAATCATCTCGAACTTTATTTCAATGTAAAAAAATTTAGATTGAAATTTAAAATCTATATCTAAATCTCATCTCATCTTTTTCATCTCCATTGAGCTAATCTGTTGCTAACTTTGATATTTAGTAAGCAAATTCAAACTTTTGGGCTATAAAGTGATTTCATTCCAAATTCATAGGGTTCTTCAACCCTCCTTTAATCTAAGTCAATATTTTTGGTTGGATACTGATATCTGATCTTGGTTGATCACTTCAGGACAACTGTTTATAACAAATTGCAATAAAGGAAGAAAAAAGAAGAAAAAAAAATGGAAAAACCATGAGAAATTCGTGGTATCTGCTATCTGGTGCTTGTGTTGGTAATTTGATGCTATAAATCCAACAACAGAATATGTTGCTGCCATGGTAGCCATTGTTGGACTAGCTTGAAATGATCAAAGGAGTGGAGTAAGAGCACAAAACCAAAACAACCAAGTTGGGGAAGCTGGTTTTGCTAGCCATAGTGAACAGAAAAGAGTCCAATAACAAACTTTTAGTTAGGTTGAAAACAAGTGAAAGAGAAAGCAGAATTACTCTGACTTCAAGGAGAGCCATGGCAATTGAATAAAGTATATAAGCTTAAAAAATGGTCATAGTTTTGTTATTAAGTAATGGATAATTATAAACTACAGTTTTCATAATAGATAAAAATTAAAAAATTAAAAAAAAAATCTAGCACATCATATAGTAAGACATGTCCTGCAATCCGGGAATGACAATAGAATCTTTAGGAATGCTGCTGAAATTGAACAAAAGCCCCAAGTGCTATAGCTGGCTACAAACAAGCTTTCTGCAATTGCTGCCGAAATGGCAACTGGGGGAACTGCAAAATGAAATTCAAGAGCTTCATAGAGCACTAAACCTCTTTTTGAGAAATGTTAATCAAGAGATCCTGCATAGGTAGAAGAATGCATTGGTGCTGCCGAAGAGAACATAAGGGATTTGGAGAAATGTCTTTGCTTGTAGAACATAGCAAGTCTGGAAGCAATAAATGACAACTCTGCAATTCCAATGCTCATATATAGTCTCATATAAGAGCATAAAACATAGGAATCCCTGCAGTGGTAGCTTGCATGGACCTCATCAATGTTAATCTGATAAACACAAGTTACAAGGGGAAACAATGTTCAAAGTAGTCTTGAACATTGGTTTGGAGGTTCACGGCATACAATCTTTCCTTCCACCAGTAAAACAGTGTCATCAAACAGATCAATGTCACTGGTGGTGGTTAATAACATTTGATTAACAAACAATTTATTACCTGTCTTCAACCACCACCAAAGACATATGAGCTCTTTGATGCAACATCATGTTATTGGTTTCTCACTATCTTTGAGCTCTTTGATGCAGGAAAGATACAGGGAAAATGTCACTGAGTGTAGTTGAAGGCTGAACCAATACAATTCACCCCATCTCTGGTGCTTGAAACTTGCCAGAGAGAGGTGTCCAAAGGCCATCTAGCAAGAGAAAAATCTGGGGTTGGTAGGATGGATATAGTTCTTAGACGAGAACTTACTCCTGTCTGCTATTGTTGAAGAGTAGCTTGAAATGATCACATTCACAGGCAGTGGAATGAGAGAATGAAACCAAGAACCAAAATGAAGCAAATGGTTTTGCTTGCCATAGGAAAGAGAAATTTTCTGATTAATGAGAGAATATGTGAGATGAGAAAGGTGAAATCCAATACTATTTATACTTAAGAAAGCTGGTCTGAATCTGTCTCCTCACTTTTGGCACCTTTTAACTAAGTGTTAGGTGAAAAACACCAAAAGCGTTGCTCATTCTGAAACTCTTTATTACCTTCCTTTACCGTTTCACTTATTTGATACAATATCGGTGAAACTAACACATTTTTTTTATTTAATCCTTTTATTTTTTAATCTACACTAAAAAATATGTTCACCCAATTAATCTCGCTTATAAAATTTAAAAATTTTATTATAGTATGATAAATTTTTTTTTATTTAATAAGTCCATTCATTCTAAAAGCTTCCATTTTTATAGATCCAAACTAGCATAGCTAATTATACATTATTCATGTTTGGATTAACAAGATATATTTAAAAAAAAAAAAAAGCTATTTAATAATTTTAACCCTTACATATCATTTTTAGATAAAGCTCATTTATAATCATAGCAAAACAACAAAATCAAACAGGAAATGGTAAAAAGTGAAGGAAGAAGCTCTGACCCTCGTTTTTACCCGATTTGCTTCAGCAACTTGACCCGACTCGACCACTTCAGCAGACCCTTATGGATCCAATTTGAGCGGCAAACAAACCTGGTTTTTGGGCTTTTTAGATCCTTAACTTTGGGCCTTATTCAATAGGCCTAGTGAGATATATTTTATTTTTTATTATTTTTGTTCTATGTTTATTTATTTTTTTAATATGTCAAGTTAATTAAAAGTTTTTTAGGTAGTAAGTGAATTCATTGGTAGATTTTTTTTTAATACAATTATGGTATAAAATTTATGATTATTTAAGAAATACTTTTAAAGGGAATATTTAGAAAAAAGTTGAAAATACCATTTTTTCTAATTTTCTAGATAAATTGGTTAGTTAAATTTTACCAAAAATACTGGAGATTTTAGAAATTATTTTTACATAAAATTTTTTTAAATAGACATGAAATTATGATTTTAAAAAATAAAATAAAATAATCAACTATCATTTGAATCAGTTGACATATCATTAAAGTTAGTATTAGGAGATTACAGATTTAAAAGAATTTAAACAAGTAATATTTTTTTAGTTAAATATATAGTTGGATAAGAAGTTTAACAGTAAATTAAAAATTTTTAAAAAAATAAAAATAAAAAACAGCATGCGAAAATAAAATTACAAAAATTGAATCATGTGCACATTTTTTTGCTTGCATCCATGTGCATTTATTAAAGTAAAATTTAGTCTTTCAATGATGAAATTATTAGAAAGTTGTAACTAATAATTTTTTTGAAAATTTTTAAATAATTATTTTTTAATTGAACCGAATAATTTTTTTTAAAAAGACTTATTATTTCAAACTATAGGCAAAGTTGACTCCACAATTCTTAATATTCAATAATATATATATTAAAAAAGCTAACAATAAAGAAAAATAAAATTATACAATTGTATTCTCTCAAAAAAATTCAAATTTAATTATCTAAACAGAAAGAATAATTATTCAAGAACTATGTAAAAGAATAATTTTAATCCTTACTTATGATTTTTTAAAAATACATTCACTTATAATTTTAAATCATTGCAAGAACAATAAACCAAATTGACGAAATTTTTTTAAAAATGTTAAATAATTTTAATAGTTACATATCGTCTTTAAAGATATATTTGGATGAAAATTTTTTAAATTTAAAAAAAATTTAAAAATGCTAGCATTTTCAAATACATAATTCCAAATAATAAAATTTATAATTGCATTATTTGAATAATTATTTTTTAGAAAGAAATTTTAAAAATTAGAATTTGATAAGATAAAAATTAATTATAACAAATAATGATATTAGAGAAAGAAAAAATATATATGTAATATGGGTATCATTAGATTTATAAAAATGTGTAGATAATACCAATAATATGAAAAATTAAAAAAATAAATTTTATAATGAATTTTTGTAATTAAAATTAAAGAAAGCACAAATTATTTTTAAAAATGAAACATAATAAATATTGAGATTTTGACTATTCCAAAACTCTTAGTTCAAATTCCAAGAACTTTGACAATTCCAATTTTACTTTGCCAAATAAATCAATTTCATTTTAAAATTTTAAAAATCTTGTTACAAATGAAATTCCTTTTTAAAATCCATCATCCAAACATGCCCTAAGAGAAAAACTTACTTATAATCATAGCAGAACAATAATCGACGTAGCAAAACATAAACGGTAACAAATTAATTGTTTCAAACATCTTTTAAAAAACTTAATCATGATTTCAAATCACAGTAAATCCAAAGTCAAACATAATCACTCCTAATAAGGAATATGTTTAAAAAAAACTAAACTAAATATTTAATTTAAGATTTAACATTTAGTCGAATTTATTAAGGATATAACATTTAATTTAATTTAAATCAAGATCAAATATTTTAAAAATTATTTAATTAATGATTTACGGAAATGAATAACACGCGCACGAGAATCGAGTGATATCTCAAAATATTGGTGGTCATCTTTAACTCACTTCTTCCGTGTTCGGCTTTTATACTCGACCCTTACCTTAACGTGGCCTCTCTCTCTGAACCTATCGCACCGTCGATTACCGTCACGGGCGTCAGTGTTGCTATTCGAGTCCCATCAACCTCAGCGTTGTAAATTTTAACACCGTCAATTTTCAAATCGAAAACCCTATACCCAATTTCAAACCCTGACCATACACATTAATTTCCATTCTTTCAATTCAAATTTCTATAATTTTTCTAATCCTTCCTCGTTAATATTGTCTTAAATCATCAATACCAATAGCATCACAATCTCAGCCTCAGATGACAAATCCAATGAACTCAATCGAATGCGGGTTCTAGTTCGAAGGTCCTGTTAGAAACATGGTCACCACCAAGTCAGGACCGAGTTGACTCAACGACTCATCTGTTGGTTCGTCAAATATTGGACACTCCTCAGATTCCCTCCAACTGCTGTGTTGTAAAATTTCGAGGCCACCAACCGTTGAATTCCTTAAGTTGATTTCTAAACACTTTGCCTCTGCTAGGGCTCTTCCCTAACTGCCAAAGTGACTTTCACTACTAGGGCTCTTGAATCCCTAAGCTAAAGCTAAGACCTTTGCATTTAATAGAATTATAGATATTCCGCTTGTGATAGTCTTGTTTATGCTATAAGGTTTGGATTTTGTTTGAATTTTTAGAGCTAGTGTTTTTTTTTTTTGGCTTTCAGACACTTCAAAGCTTTTAAGTTGTTCAAAGGTTTCCTGGCTATCATGAAGGACATACATAAATTAAGATTTTTTTTGCAAAAGTTTTAGACTTAACGGCGCCGTTAGAAAGTCCTGCTTTGATCACATTCTAAAGTTTCGAATCCCTAATTGAATCAAATTAAAAATTATGATCTTCAATTGAGAAAATAGTTAAATCTTAGGTTCTAAATTAGAAATTTAACCAAAAAACTATAATAAAGGAAAATAAAATATAAAAATGTTTATGTCAATAAAATATACAATCATATGGTATGTTAATAAAATGTTAAATTTTTAATTTTAATGATAAAAAAATAACAAAAGTGATTGACAAAAAAATTAAAATCAATACCAAAATAATTTTAACAATAAGATATTGTCCTTCAAAAACTTACAATCATAGTAAAACAATAATATTATCATGATAAAATGTACAAAATAACAAATTAATTGTATTAAGGAAGTATATCACCTACAATTTTTTTATTATAATACTATACTATATAATTAGAATAAAAAATTATGTAAAAATTCATCATTTATAAATGTAAATTTCACATAAATTTTTTATCAATTTTATATAATTTTAAATTATAATTGATTAATTATACTAAATGAAATGCTCTCTTGTACGGTGCACCTAAAAAAAAAAAACTTATATCAAACACTTAAAAAAATTACTAACCCATTATTTCAAATTACAAAAAAAAAAAAAATTGACCTCTCTACTACTACTCAAAAATATATGTAGCCAACTATATATATATATATATATACACACCTAAACAAGAGCTATAAACTAAAGGAAAATAAATATTAATACAAATATGTCCTCTGAAAAATATACAAATGTAATTATCTAAAATTAATGAAGAATTACATACAAAAACTATAAATGTAATTAATAATTAATGAAAAATACTCATAAAATCGTTTTAAATAATGTAAGAAAATTAGCTTTTTTATTAAATCATTTCCATAATTGACTAATTGAGAATAAGGTTGAAGAATTGCATAAAAAACTATAAATGTAATTAATAATTATTGAAAAAAACTCATAAAATAATTTTAAATAATTAAAGAAAATTAGTGTTTTATTGTTAAATCATATCCATAATTGACTAATGCCCCATTTGGACTCAAATGTAATTCCAGTAAAAATACATTTTCATGAAAAATTATGCATGCATGCATGCAGTCGGTAAACAACATATCCCCTTTTTTCCACTGCCCATTCCTTCAGTGAAAAATTCTTATTCCCACCATATTTTCCTTTCTTTTAATATTCTTACCCTTTTTTTTTTTTTTTTTATCTTACTTATCCCTCAAACAATAGTGAAGGAATAAAAATGTTCCTTACACTTAGTAGCTTTTAGTTTTTTATTTTTATTTTTATTGTTTGTTATTTTATATAAAAATAATATATATAAAAATAATTTTTAAATATTTAATAATAAAATATTATTCTATATAAAAATAATTTTAGTAATTTTTAATTTATTAATAAAAATATTACTTGATATAAAATAATTTTAATAAATTTTAATAATTTATTAATTTCACAAATATTAAATATATATTATAAATTTAACATCTTTAATGATCATTTTATCTTATTATAAAAATTTATTTTGTTTCTATTATTATTTTTATATTTAAATATATATTTCATCATTAACTTTAATATCATTACTATAATAATCAATCTACCTTTATATTTAAATATATATTTTATTATTAATTTTAATTTTGTTACTATATAATCAATCTTATAATTATAATAATAAATTTCACCTTTTACCACTATTTGATATTAATATCAAATAAGCGAATCTCACCGTCATCTATGGAATTGAGACCAATAAAAGAATATTAAACATGAAACGCACTTCCTATGATGCTTTATAGTTGGGAGCAAGACATTTCTGTTGATTCCACACTCCACCAACCCCCCTCTTCATCACCTAACTCACCCACCACGGGAAAGTGCGAACCAATCTTTTTTTTTTTTTTTTTTAAATTTTGCTCTATATGTTCCCTTTGTTTTTTTTCATTGACTCAGTGTGTTTCAAAAGCTTCAAACTTTTGCTTCTTTTTTCTGTTTTTCTTTCCAAAAAGTCTTGTCTTTTTCTCTTCATCTTTGAGATCAATGGAGGCTAAGCTGTTAAGTGCTTCTTCTCCAGCCTTACCTGCTGTTAATGGCACTACCAAGTTTTTAAAACCTAGTTGCCTTTTACCCTTGCAAGCCAGGAAATTTCCCAGGTTTAAGTTTGATTGCTCTGCAAGGTTGTCAAAGAAAGACATTCAATCTGTTCATGCTTCCACCAACTCTGTCGGGTATAAAACAATCAACCCTTTTGGGCGTTTTTGTTGTTTACCACAATTATGCTTTTAGGTTGTTGAAAACAGAGTCTTTCCTTCATTGTTTCTTTGAAAAAAAAAAGCTTTGGTTTTTTACTTTGGCTGTATTTGAAAATGGGTAGTTTATTACTGGATTAGCTCAATCTGCCTTAATTTTGATGCCCTATCTTTGATTTTCCTGCATGTTATTAATTCGGGTTTATTCTATGCTTCAGTTGCGATAATTCCATTGCTAGATTGCTTAGAATCTGGGGTTTTAATTGTTTTCTTGGTGTTTTTCAAAAAATAATAATAATAATAATTTGAATTCCTTTTTCTCACTTTTTTTCTTAAATTTTGGAATGGATTTTGCTTCCTTTAATATTTCACTGCTGGAGTTCTATTGGAATTTAGTACCGAGTATTAGTTGCTTTTTTCTCTTCTTTTTTTTTTCCTTATGGAAAACACCAATTTGAGTGCAGCAGCCTACACGTTACCCTTTTTGTCGGCTTCTTTAACTGAATGCATTGATTTCTGTAATTTTTAACTTCGTTCTGCTACTTATGCACAGGAATGCAAATAATTGTCTTCTCTAATTTTGTTCCTGTCTGTGGAATCTGGAAACATAAAACTTGAAATGATCATGATATGGAAAATTGAATGATTCTTCTTAACATGCCTTTTTGTAACTGTACTTTTTTTTTAAACAAATCATTGATTCTTGAACACATGTGAAAATCTTATAAATGAAAGAATATCTTACCAGCATGTATAAGCATAAAGAGAAAAGACTATGGCTGTCGCTATGGTACTAGAATGAACTGTAATAGCTCATAAATCATATTCAGAAAGATGTTAGGATGACTAAATTGAACTTTTACCGGCCCTTGTTGGAAAATCTTCGGCAATTTTTTTTTCTGTGGTATTATTGTGCTGCAGTAGCTGATTTCTTTTTGACATCTGATGGAGGCTTTTCATAATTTAATGTTTTGGTAACATCTCTATAGACAAATAAAGCAAAGGGTGGATGAAAGCGAGAACTTGACCCTGGAGGCCGTGAGGTGTTCGTTAATTCGACAGGAGGACAGCATAATATTTAGCCTTCTGGAGAGAGCTCAATATTGTTATAATGCGGATACATATGACCCTGATGCCTTTTCAGTGGATGGGTTCCATGGCTCTTTGGTGGAGTATATGCTCAGAGAAACTGAAAAGCTTCATTCAAAGGTGTGTTATATTCAATAGTCTAGTTGGGAAAGTGATAATTCAAGTAGAGAGAGAAAGGAAAGAGGTACAGCAAAATCAGTGCTGGTTTTCTGATAAACCTTTAATTGCACATTAGGTTGGCAGATACAAAAGCCCAGATGAACATCCTTTCTTCCCAGATGAATTACCTGACCCGATGTTGCCACCTTTGCAATATCCACAGGTAAGATAGTGGGATGCAATAGGAATATATTTGTTGCTTTTTGTGCAGCGAGCTTGGACTTATGATTCATTGCTATATATGTGAACAATTTCACTTATACGTGAAATATTTGGCCAATTACTTGTTTTATTGGAATTTTAAGTACTTGTTACTGCCATCACTCTAGTTGTAAGGGGATGGGGAACGTTGAGGTAGGTCTTTGATTCAAATCTAATGTTGTAAAATGAGAAATCAGGGGAAAACATAGTCCTCTGCTAGGAAATCAGTATAAGATAGCCTCCGGAATGACTTGGGGAGTACTTTTCTGTAACACCTCATACCTTTTTGGTGATGAGTGATGCTCTTCATGCCAATGCAACATATAAACATAACTTATCTGTGAGTGACAGTTCAGTTTTATACTTTCTTTTTTTTTTTATCATCATGAGAATATAACATTTAAATTGTTACGGAGAGGAATGCTATCTTCTGATTTAGTATGTTACTATATGGCAGTCTATTCAAAGAATTTATGTGGACATTCGGATTTTCTTATTTTGGTGCTAAGTTTTAACTTCTTATTGGAGCCTTTTTCTGCCAATCAAACAGGTACTACATCCCATTGCTGATTCAATAAATATAAATAACCAAGTCTGGGAATTGTACTTCAGAAATCTTATTCCAAGATTGGTAAAGAAAGGAGATGATGGCAATTGTGGATCTACTGCTGTTTGTGACACAATGTGTTTGCAGGTAAATGTTTTAACTGATGTCTTTATTTGGACAGACTAGTTACAAACTAGTCAAAGCATATTTAATGTTTTGTCCTTTGGATAAGTCTTACGGTCATTTCTACTTCAGTTTGTGCTTTGTTGCACACACACCCATAATATGTTCCTTACATTCCTTTTGTCTAAAATGCTGATTGACTGGTTGTAGTAAATGTTGCTTCTGTCTTCTTTCCCTTCTATGTACTTTTAATTTAGATTTATTATGTGCATGATGTCTATTGTTGTTGTTTTCAAAACTTCCTTTAGCAGAATGGGCAGCAGAAGTTTAGTAGACTTTCTGGAAATAGGTAGTTCATCCCTTGGTATTTGAAGGGGTTAAGACTTTCTAGATGCTGATAACATATGGTCACAGATGCCTAATAGTAGATGGGTGCAGGTGGCAAAGCAAAAAATCATTTGCACTTATTGTCTAGAACCTTTTCTAGCACTCAGTGCACTTTGTAACATCACTTTAGGAGACGGGTACAGGTGCAAAGCAAAAAATCATCTGCACTTATTGTCTAGAACCTTTTCTAGCACTTAGTGCACTTTGTAACATTGCTTCTTCGTTGGTTTGGTTTTCTTGAATTTGACAGCAGACCAGTATGCTAATTCACCTGCCAAACTAGTCTTCTTGATTCATTACAGACTATATAGGACAGTAATTCATGGAGAGTTGAATATCACGGTAACATCATCTTTTAGTAAGAGGTCCCTTACTGTGGAAAGTTACTTCATTTGGATTTTCTAAGTGTGAACCAAATTTTGGAAATCGATGATGAGTTAGTAATGGTAAGTGTCTTTTGATCCACAGAAAATTTTGAATATACTAAACTGGATTTATCTAGAGTAACAGGTAACTGCATTGTTGTTTAGCGTACGTCTATACTTTAATCCATGTATCCATTCCAACCATTTATGCTACAATTTCTTGACCTTCCTGGATCCCACTCAAAATCTTGGAGAGGGATTGTTGGTTGTATAAGGTTTTCTTGGCATGCATGTTCAGTTTGTTCGTCTAACTGGTGATGTGTAAACATTTATGTGTCTCTGCAGGCTCTTTCAAAGAGAGTTCATTATGGAAAATTTGTGGCAGAGTGTAAATTTCAGGCATCTCCAGATGCCTATAGAATTGCCATTAGAGAACAGGTATCATTTCTTAGTTTCATTCCAAGTACAGTTTGTTGAAGGATCTGTTAGGTTGTGTTTCATTATTTGGTCTTGAATTTGCAGGACAGGAAATGGTTGATGGAATTGCTCACATATCCCTTAGTTGAAGAGTCAATCAAGAAAAGAGTCGAAATGAAAGCCAGAACTTACGGGGAAGTAGTGTCTGCTAATATAAACCGAGATGGTGGCGATCCGGTTTACAAAATAAACCCAAGCTTGGTAGCTGACTTGTATGGTGACTGGATCATGCCATTGACAAAGGAAGTCCAAGTTGAATACCTGTTGAGAAGGTTGGACGGATTGGAAGAGAATATACACTAGCTGTTTATGATAAAATAGAAATCTTGAGATATGGAGCAAAATAATTGCTAAGGGGTAGTTGTAAGTTAATCAAAAGAAAATACAAAAAGGCTCATTTGGAACTTCTATCATGCCATTTGCTCCTAATATTTTTTCTCCATATAACTTTTATATTTTCTTTGTCCATATAGATATTGGCTTTTTTTTTTTATTTGAGATTATCAAAATTTAAATTCTGATCAACTATAGATTTCGCGACAGGTGGTGGATATTGGCTTGATAATACCGATGTTTTTTTATGTTTATGTGTGTAATAAGACTAAAAGATGTATTGTTATTATATGTCACCATAATGTAAAGGGATTTATAGGCTTTTTTTGTGTGTTTTATCAAACCATGCCAATATGATCATGATTCTGGAAAACCAATGTTCATGAACAAAGAATATGCTTCCACAATTGCTAGGCGGTGAGGGCTATGCTCATGTACCCCTTAAGCCTTGGTTGTTGAATTATTCCAAACCCTATCGCTCAGATGGCTAACTATTTAAAGTTGGGCTTAAAATGAACCAGGCTTTTAGAATTACAACAATCTGACTTCAGGCCCTGGCCTGAAATTCTTGGACTTACGTTGAGTTTTGGCCACTTTCTCGGCTAATAAAATTGTATGACTCAATAGTAAATGATTCTCGGTTCGAGTTTCATTAATGGCTTCAAGATTTTTCGATGAAAAACACATAAAGATATATTACTTAAAAAAAAAAACACAAAAATTAAAGACAAGATTTTACCAATCCTTTTGTTAATTTATTTTGCTTTGTCATAGGTCAATAGAAATATATATATATTATAATGTTTGAATTTGAAGAATTTTTTCTAATAAATTTATCATGTTTGTACTTTGTATTTGTAATATATAATTTTAATATGAATTATTGTGAATTTGGACTGTAATTAAAATTTTTATTTATAATATTGGAAAAATATTATTTATTTTATTTATTTTAAAACATTTTTAGGATCTAAAGTTTACCTTGGACCCACCAGTTCGATTTTGTAAGATGCTTCACACATGGATCAATCAATGATCCAAAAATTTCAAAATCGATCCTGTATGAATGATCCATAATCTTAGTTTCACACTGTCCATCTAGATCATATTCACCCCTAATCGGATCTCTTTTTTTTGAAGAACAAGATTGACGGATATAAAAAAGATCAAAGCAACTTTTTTTTGGTAAATCAATATGGTTAAAGAAATATAACTTTAATTATACTTACTAATATGATGATCCTACAACCATAATCATTATGATGAACACATGGGGAAGATCTACTTGATTTTTTTTTTTTTTTTTTTGGGGCAAATTTATAGCATTTATTTTCTTTCAAAATTTCCAGGGGAAATCATGTTTCTATTCTACAAGCAAACATCAAATTATTATACAATTCATCTACCCCACTAAGGATTTGAAAATGACATGAATTTTGTCAGATTGGGTTATGGGCAAAAATATATTTATCATTATCAATGTTAATTAAGGGATATCTTTTAAGGGTAAGCCAAGTGGGCAAGTACAAGTGTTTAAGGGGCCATTCCTCAATTCATGGCCATTTCAATTGTCCTATATATTATATTTTTGTCTTTTTATTCAAAACTAATATTTAAAATATATATATATATAGTAGCTTATTTTTAAGTGACTGACTCTCATAATTTCTTTGTCTTATAACTAAAATCCTAAAATTTCAAGCTATTTTTCAAGGTCATTGTTATTTTGGGTCTCAATTCTAAAAACTTGTCTATGTTCTCAATAATGCATGTTTTAAACGCAATATATCTTTTTTTTAATACCAAAAAGTCTCAATCTAAAAATAAGATAAATAGTTACAAATATTGTAATTTAAAATTTAAATATGTTATATGTTATTTTTAAATATAAATGTATAAATTAATTGAATTAAATTATGTTTATCAATAATATTTTTTAATTAATTCAAGAAAGACTTTAAAGTTATTTGATTTGAAATATAAAATTTGGGTTAATTAATTATAAACTATAAAAAAAAAATTCACCAAAAAAAAATGCAATTAAAAATCAAAAAGAGTCAGTGAAACTGTCCTCCCTGATGAAGATCAATAAAGATTCTTATAGAATAATTTAACCTTAAGATTCTCTAAAAAGTGTAAAAAGAAAACTGTAGATAAGAGTGCCTGGGTGTGGTAAACTGAGAAAGTGAAAAAGCAAAGCAAAAATAACAGTTAAAAGAATCCAAATAAACTTAACTGAAAGTTAAAAAGGAGGTGCATAAAAAAAAAAAAGCAGAAGACAGATCTCGGAACAGCGGTTGAATTGTTGAACTTTTGTCTGCAACGGTAATGACCAAGACAAAACAACACAGTGAAGTTGAAGCAAAATTGTTTTTCAAACTTGTGAACATAAAATAAGGATTTTGTTTTAACCCATGTTACCCCTGCAAATAAAAAATCATTGGCAGTTGTGGATCTAGAAACTACTCAAAAGTAAAGAAAGAAAGAAACCTTCTTTATTGATAAGCCTTAGCTGGCTATATAGCTTATAAACCAAACCCAAACTAGAAAAATTAAAACCAACCCAAAGTAAAGCAAAGAAAAACTCGGCTGAGAGAGCAATGGAGAGAAGCAAAGCGATGATGGTGGTAGTGGCAGCTATGGCATTTGCCTTAGTGATGGTGGTGCCAAGGGCTGATGCTACAAGGTTTATTGTGGGAGCAAACATGGGGTGGACTACTAATGTGAATTACACTATCTGGGCTCAAGGCAAGCACTTTTACAATGGAGACTGGCTCTGTAAGTTCTTCTCTCTTGTTTGGATTAATTTATCTTTAGATCTACTTTCTGTAGCTTTTCATTGTTTTTTTTCTTTCTTATACTGTTTTCATTGCTCTTTTAGCGGTGGGTTCCTTATTTGCTTCAAAATTTCAGCTTGCTTTTGGCTTATATGATTGCTAAATGCATAGATCTGAACTTGTGTAGTTGAATGAATTGATAGTCTCAAATCTTGAGCTTTGTCTTGGTTTCCTCAAAAGCTACGGTTTGCCAGCTGGTTTTTAGTAAGCTACTGGATGGTTACTTTAGTTTTTTTCTGTTACTCACTTTGTTGAGTGAAAAAAAGGGAAACTTTAATCTAGATTTAAAAGAACAAAGTTTTAATTTTTCTGTATTTATTGGTCTACAAGGCTTATGTTCAGGCTCATTCATTTGCTTCCCAGAAAATCCAGGAAGAATAAAGGAGAGTGAGAAAGGCTTAACTTTTTTGCTTTGTTTTTTATGTGATGCTGGAAAAAGATTTTATAACATAATCGGAGTAATGGTTTCTGAATATGATAGTCCTGGTCATGCCAGATCTGAAACCTTTGCTTTGTATCTGGTGGTATAGTCTTCAGTGTCAAAATGAAATCTTTTCAGTCTTTAAATCCCTCTACATAAAAGAAAGGAAAAGTTTGAGGAGAGGCTGTCTTGAATCCTTTTTCACCTTACCCCGCATTTGGTCAAAAGACAGGCCCCGCCGTTCCATCTACCACAAGGAGGGCGCTGACTTCTGCTCTGTGTTTTAATTATGGCTGAGTGAACAATTCTAACCACTATCTACTTTGTTGCATACACAAGAACTGGATACTAGGTAAAACACTTTCTGCAATCTGTCAAATATATTACTATTAACCAATGGATGGTAGGCTTAAATGGCAAACAGAGTGCTCCTTCTTTTGTTGTCTGGGTTTTAATCGGCTGGGACGCTGCAAAAAGATACTTTCTCAAAAATTCGCTAGATCTAGCGTGAACAAACCTGCTTGGACTGGTCTGGAAGGGGATACTAGCTTTCAAGGATGAGACTTTATTTTGACATAACCAGAGACCATTAATCCCATTTAATTGCTGCTTGCCATTGTATTGTAAACCTGAATTTTGAATCACAACTGATTCAAATTATAGAACTTTGCTTCAAACCTGGCTATTAGTTTAATATCTGCTCGTATGTGTTTGTTGTTTTTTCCCAGTTTTCGTGTACGATAGAAACCAGATGAATGTGCTAGAGGTGAACAAGACAGACTATGAGTCATGCAATTCTGATCATCCACTTCACAACTGGACGACAGGAGCTGGAAGGGATGTGGTTCCACTAAACGTGACTCGCCACTACTATTTCATTAGTGGCAAAGGGTTCTGTTTTGGGGGCATGAAGCTAGCAGTCTTGGTCGAAAACCCCCCTCCACCTCCCACATCCAGTCCATTAAACGAAAAGAGTGGCTCACCAAGTTCTATTTACAGGGGACAGATTGTTTTACCAGCTGTTTTCGCCATTGGTGCACTGTGGGATGCATTTGTCCGCGTCTGGTAGTAAAATCCAGTCCAGCAATTGTGAAAGAAATTGAGTGATATTCCCATTTTCTTCTTAAATTATTGGTGCAATTTTTCATTTTTTTTCCCTCCCATTTCATGTTAGTTGACCTGAACTAGCTAGGGGGTGTTGTGAAATCTTTAGGGTAGTGAATGGTGTTTGAATTTGGTGATGTGTTGGGGTGTGCTGACAGAGAAGCATTTGATGCTTTAGTTGTGGCAAAATGCAATGATATTGAGATTTGGAAATGAAATTAAACTCATGCGGTCCAATGTAGCATGTGGTAGGTCAGTTTGTCAAATGCTTTTCCATCCCAAAATGGCCACTGATTTCGGAACTTTTCTTTATTTATTTTATGATTTCCATTCTCTATGCATAAAGAAAAGAAACTTTGTGCTAAAAAGGCTACATGACACTACAATCTTTGGTCCACAACAATTTTTTTGGTACAGGTAAATGGAATTAGCCGCTTCATGTTTCCTTAACAAGAACCAAAATGATATTATATTAACTCAGATCTTAGCTCGATTTATGCAATCGAAATCATATATAACATATCTAAAATTTAAATTTCAACATATATAAATATAATCCATACTTTTATTTTTATACTATGATATTCTTTACCTTCATACATACCTCTCTCCCTTGTATACATTTCAATTACAACATAAAATAATGAATGAGCTTAATCATGGGGATGTAATAATACAAACAAATTAGACATTTCTTTTTTTTTTTTTAAAGTAATTGGAATATTAAACAACAAAACTTTTTAGCATTTATCTTTTACAAAATCTATTTACCAACCAAAAATAAACCGTTCATCACTCATCATTTTGCGTAACTGCTCTTAAAATTCTCATCCATAAACAAAAAACAGATAACAGCCAAGCACGTTTTGCCATGTCAAACAATCCCCCTATTTCTTTTCCCACTTTGACCTTCACTGTACACGTGGAGGGTGACTAGGCAGGAAGTTGAACATCAACCATGTCACTTTAGCACTGTCACCTTTAAGTACGTTACTCTTAACTTGTACAATTCATCAATATTTGACTACTCCAACAAGACAAAACTGTTTACATACGACTGTTTCAGCTATAAGTGACCTGTGAAGTCAGTTGTGTTTGGGTACGAGGTTTTCTGCAGCTGCCTAGGTTGATTTTCTCAGAAAATTTTGATAGAGAAAATTTTAAGCAAGATCATGATTGGAAAGAAATTGTCGTTAGTTAAGTTAATGTTGATGTTGACGCTGATGATTATGGTGTTGGAGTTCGGAATGGGGAAATTGCATCGGGTGGGAAACAAGTTTGGTTGGAACCCTAATGTTAACTATTCGGAATGGTCCACCCATGAGCAATTCTATGTCGGTGATTGGCTACGTAAGTAATCTTTCTTTGTATCTTTCTAGAAAAATTTTTTTTCGTATATTTTATACGAGAAGAGATTCCTTACATTATTACTGTAATTCTTATAATTTTTTTTTTTGAATTTTTGGATCTAAATTATTAAATTTAAAAATATTATTTTAATTTAAAAGAATTATTGATTTAATTTTAATCAAAAAATTTTAAAAATTATAAGAATTACACTAATATAAATGAATTCTTACTTATTCTATATATATATATCATTTAAGTTTTGAATCTTTCAATTGTATAAATTTTTTTAATTTGTATTAATAAAAGAATGAATACATTTATATAATAATTTACAGATATTTTAACATGATATTCTTTTCATTAAAAGAAAAAAAAAAACATGATAGGCATGTTTTTTTGTCTTGTTTTTCAGATTTTTGTTTGATTTTGAAATTAAAAGGGTATTGAAAATTGTTTTTTTTTTTCATATATAAATTTAAATGCTAATGAATATATTGGTTGCACTTAGTTTTAATCAATTTCTTTTATGCATTTCTGCTAGTTTAAATTAGAATATTTTTGGCTATCAAATGATTAATTGGAAGCTGTTGTTAGTTAGTTTTTTTTTTTTTTGCATCTAGGTTGTTTCATTAGTAGAGTTTTTTTTTTCCTAAAAGGAAAGCATAAAATTTATTTTTTCTTTAATTAAGTTAAACAAAATGCGATTTGATTAACTATAAAATCAATAGTATTTATATAAAGAATAGATGTGTGCATAATTCAATTTTAACCAAATTAATTGATTGAATCAATTTAATTTGATTCATCAATTGGTCATCGAATTAATTTCGATTAGCTAACAAAACTTATTTTTAAAAAAAATTTGATTTTTGATTAATTCAGTTTGAAAACCAAATTAATTGAATTAACTGAAATTTTAACCGAAATATAATATAATCTAAATATAAAATAAAAAATACATGAAATAAATCATTTAATTTCATAATTTGTTAGAGTTTTTAACATAATATTTTGATATTTGAATATTTTGTTGAATAATTTTATTTAATTTGTTTAAAATATAAAGAATTAAGAGTTTAAAATATAATTTAATTTAAATAAATTTATTATTCAGTTAACTGAAAAAAATTATCGAACCGACTGAATTAAATTCTATCGGTTAATTTTTAAAATTCATAAATTCAATTTAATTAACGAAAATAAAATAAAATAATTCAGTTAATTCAATTTTAAGTAATTTAATTTAAAATTAATCAAATCAATCGAATAAACACTCCTAATAAAAAATTAGTTTTATCATGAATCGATGACATTCTATCAATACAAAAATGAATTGACGTGTGTCATACGATACATTTGGATAGCTTAATTTAAGTTATATCCAATTAAAATATAATCAGATCAAATTACTTAAAAATGTAGTTCAAAAGTTTTTGACCAAAAACTTATAAATATATTCTCTAAAATACGTTAAACTTAAAAATATTATTTTTAGTTATTAAATTAAGATGAAAAATACAAAAAATAAATTCAAAATATATACTAACGAGCATGTTGAGAATTTAAAAAATAATCATATTTTCTATTTATGTCACATAATCACTCAATCTTATCCATATGTATAATATATATTTTTTTGTTATTTTACATGTCATTTATAAATAATTATAAAATTATTCACCTTATCTTACAATACTCAATTCTCAAAAATAAGATTTCCAAGTATCTCTTTAACAACTATGGACTTCAAAAAGTATATATAAATATATATATATATATATATATATATATGAAAAACACTTTTAATATACTCTTTCTTCTCTTTTCCTTTTTCTTCCATTTTTTTTCTATTAAATGACCCAAAACCAAAGTGTAAATGATTTGTAAGTTTATCACCATCTCCTCTAACTTCATCTAGCAATTCATCATTAATTCTGTGCAAATTTTGGCAAGTCAATGATATTTTCTTTCCACATCTTAGCTGTTACTTGCAAATTTTGGAGAACTTTTGAAAATATGGAAGGAGAATCATCCCACAATATGAAGGTATCTTTTATCTTTATCTTCTATCTAAAAATGGTATACTTGCTGCCATTCACCTTATCTTATAAGGTGCTAAATAAATTTGTAATTTGTGTATTAATATCGTGTTTATTTCGTATTTAACACGTGTAAAATATAAAAAATATCGTATCACAATTTGTATAGATACATTAAATATGAAACATATTTTTTTTATTTTTATCAAACTTATATATGATTTTAAACACGAAACATATTTTTTTTAATTTTACCAAACTCATATATGATTTTTATCAAAATTAATTGAGTCGCTTTATGTATTTTATTGTATTGTCTTTGTCTCATGTCATGGATTAATGTCTAAAATGATCATGTCTAATGCTAAGCTTCTGAATTGTGCTAAAGCAAACTGCTGCATTAGATTCTTCAGATTGGTTCTATAAATTCTGTGCTAACTTGCTCAAGTTCTTGCTCTTGGTTTAGTCTTTAACTTTGACAGGCACTACTTCAATGTTCTGGAGGTGAACAAGACAAGTTATGACAACTGCAATGATCAAGGTTTCATACAGAACATTACTCGTGGTGGCCGGGATGTGATTGAACTGACAGAGGCAAGGCCATATTACTTCCTTAGCAGTGGAGGATACTGCTTTAATGGGATGAAAGTAGTTGTAAACGTTGAAATACCTCAAGCTCCAGCAGCAGCCCCTGCCAAAAATGGTTCCCCCGGCCCGTGGAATGCTGGCACCTATATCGTTTTACTCATTTTGATTTCCATTTCTGTGGCATATTTGATCTTTTAATTTTAAATCAGACAGTTGATTGAGATAAAGCAGCACCCAAAAGTTTTTGTCTACAAGAAATCCTATCATAAATCTCTCTAGGCTGAATACGGAGTTTATAGTTGAGGTGATATTTAATACGTCCGAAGATCAATTTTTAATACCTGCAATCCTTTTTCTCTATCACTAAACTATGACAAAAAAAAATAATCTCTCTAAGTTATAAGCTAGAAGCTACTGGTGACATCAAATATTGAATATGACCGAAATAGAAACCTGAAATTTTCCTAACAAAAGAAGGCATCCATAATTGTCCCAAAGAATACTAAATTCAGTTTCCAGTTATTAAAGATTTCAAAAACCTGAGAGAAGTATAGCTGCTAAATGCTTTAAACTACGAAACAAGACCAAAATTCCTGAACTAATAAAGACCATCAGCATAAGTTTACCTGCAATGTAAGTATATAAAGACCATCAGCACAAGTTTACCTGCAATGTAAGTATATAACCTAGCAAATATTCTTTCCTTGCTTTTTAATGCATCTCATCACCAGAATTTCGCTTCATCATGCTTTTATATATGCCTAGAGCCTGTGCTACCATGCCGGCAGGATTCGCAACATCGGTTGGAAGCAAAGATGTGGTGCTCTTCTTTGCTATCTCACTAAATGCTTCAATGTACTGCTCTGCAGCCCACATTGCTGTCGCTTCCTTTCCCCTGGATGAGCTTATGGCAAGCGAAACATCCCTTATCCCCTTTGCGGTAGCATTTGCATTTGCAAGTATAGCCTCTGCTTCACCTGTTGCTCTATTGACCTGACTTATTTTTTCAGCTTCAGATTCCAAAATCACCGAACTCCTCCTTCCGTCAGCAATATTAATACTTGCTTGTCTTTCACCCTCAGACTTGAGAATATGAGCACGTTTCTTGCGTTCTGCTTCTGCTTGACGATCCATGGCTATTTTTACACCTTGAGGTGGGGATATATCCTTGATCTCATACCGCAAACACTCTACTCCCCAATCTGTTTTCAAAGGCCAGTAGTTAATAGCATCAAGAATGTTTTTGTTGAGTCTGTCACGCTCTTCAAAAGTCTTGTCAAGCGTGATCTTCCCGAGCTCACTTCGCATTGTTGTTTGAGCTAATTGGACGACTGCAAATATAGGATCTGCAATGCCATAAGATGCCAACAAAGGATCCACAATCTTTATATAAAGCACTCCATCAATGGCTATAGGAACATTGTCCTTTGTTATAGCAGTTTGGTCTGATATGGGGATTGCTTTTTCCTTAAGGGAATGCACATACCTGATTCTATCCACAATTGGTATCAAGAAGTTAAGGCCCGGATCCAGAGTTTTCAAATATTTTCCCAATCTTTCAACAACGTATGCTCGTTTTTCCGGGACAAAATGAATACCCCAATTGATGGGGGCTCTTATTTTGAATGAATCTGTTGAGAAGTTACGGGCTGATGAACCAATTTGAGATGGGATTGTGTAATGGGGTGCTCTGAGCATCAAATAACTCAAACCATAAGAGGCTCTGGAATTGCGAAGGTTTTTCAAGTATTTAATGGTGTTGAGGGAGCTAGTTCTCAAGGGATTCATGGTGTATTGGTGATTATAGCGGTTTGATGCTAATTTCTGCTGGTTTGTGAGAGTTGAAATATTGAAGCTGGGACTTGTTTTTGTGCCTTGCGTAATGGAAAACTAAGGAGGTTTTAATCTTTATATGATAAACCCTAGTAAAACCCTAATCACAACTTGGTCGCCAAGTTTTCTTTTATTTAATTAATGTGATAATAATATTATCCTTTATATGATCCATTTGCATATAAATAAATATATAATAATTATATAAAATTTGTCCTTTCCTTCATCAGAATCTAATAAGTTTTATCATCCTTTATATTTATTTATTAATGCATGTTACAAGAAAAAAGAATTATTTCAACTCCAAAACTTATCTTCAAGGGATGTTTCATAGTAAAAAAAAAAAAAGAAAAATACTCGTGTAGAAATAGGTCTTCGGTTAAAACAGTTTGATAGCACACTCATCCGGCGTTTTTACGTCAAAGATGAATGGAGTCACAGAGTCATGCGATCATGAAGTGGAAACTGATTTATATAATCTCCTTGACTGCATTTAAGATGACACAAGGGATAGTTTGTTCACATGAAGTTAGTGATGACACAGAAACATCTTGGTTTCGTTATTATTATTATTATTTTTTTATGGCTTAATGACGGAAAATTCTGTCTTCAATTTTTCTAAGGGCCACTAGCTTCATGCCCATATTGTGCAGGTGGATAGTTTATGTACTGCTTTTGTATGCGGTAATACTCATTACAGTTGGTTTTGTTATTATCAAAATTAGATGTATAAATGATATATTAGTATTTATAAGTTATTCGAATTTGATTCAAAAAAAATTTGAATTTCACTCAATCATTGTCGAGCTAAGTTTGAATTCGGGCAACTCGATTTATCTAACGAGTTGAGTTCGAACATTTCAGCATCTGACTCGAGTGACTTGTGAGTCTATTCGAATTTTTTTTATTTTAACATATATTTTTATTATTTTAATTATAAAATTACATTTTTACCTTTAAAATTATATGTACCCAATAAAAACCCTAAACCTAAATTAAAATTAGCCTCACTCCCATTCTATCTCATGCCACTCATCACTTTCTCCCACTCTGTCTAAAACCCTGATTCTATCACCTCTTTCATCTCTCTTTCTTTTCCTTTGTCAGTCTCAATCAGCCTTTTCAGTCTTTTTCACTTTTTAACAGCCCTTACTTTTAGCCTTCATCACTGCAATCGTATTTTTGAGTCTTCTTCACCAACACATACTCTCAACCTTCGTTACTACAAACCCCAACAATTCGACAAGAAATGTGTGAAGTGATTTGAGTTTGCTGTTATTGGGATTTTCGCAAAGCCCCTTACACCTACCATATCTTTGTTTTTCATTACACTTTATTTTATTTATTTTTATTTATATCATTACCTTAGCATGCTATTTGTGTGCTTTTTCTTTTTTAGAATGAAGCATGGACAATGTTAGGATTTTCTTCTTTTTGTTTTGCTATTAGCTAGGTGTTTGCATGTCTTATGAGTTTACATTTCATGGGTTAGATGGTTTTTATTTGTAAAGATTTAAGTTCTGTTAGCTACAACAGGTTATATTGAACCAATCATCTGTTGTTTTTACAAGTTAACAAACTATATTTTAGCGAATTTAAAGGAGGTAATTGGTCCAATTGTTTTTTTAGCCATCCTGCAAAGATTTTTTTTTAAAATTTTATTCATTTTGGCTTATTAATTTCTTTTCTTTTTATCTAATTGAATTTTGTTATGTAACATATTAATTAAAATTTAAAAATTTTTATTATGATTTGACTCAATCGAGTTTGACCTTGGCTCGAAATAAATCTCGAGTTGAGCTCGAGCTTGAAAAATATAACTTGATTGAGTTTGAGTCGAGTTTGAAACTTCGATTTTTGAGTCAAACTCAAGCTTGAACATGTGAGTATATTGGCTCGACTTGACTCAATTACACCCCTAATCAAGATGCTTGGTCATTTCTTATTTTTCTCCTTGTTTCCACATATATAAGCAGGATGGGTATGATCTCAAATAACTTGGTTGAATTCTGTTAAGTATCCAACTTAAAATCAATTGGCTATAAGTGGAGGGATCCAACCTGAATATAAGACTATAAGAAATTAGATATTTATTAGATGTAGGATAACACCACATTAATAGGCCCCTATCATGTGTAAGTAGAGATAAAAAAAGTCTACCATGTGACAGATTTGAAATGGACAACAGAAAGAAATCTTGGCTATGATATCATGTTAAGCATTTAACTTAAAACCAATTGACAGTAAGTGGAGAGGCCCAACTTAAGTATAAGACTATATGAAACTAGATATTCATTAGATGTAGGATACCACCACATTAGCAAGACCCCATCATGAGTAGACAGAGATAGAAAAAACTTATCATGTGATAGATTTAGAAAGGGCAATGAAAAAAAATCCTAGCTCTAATACCATATTAAGCATCTAACTTAAAACCAATTAGCTATAAATGAAAGAACTTGTTTGGGGCATTTAATGGTCGAAAGGGCATGGTGGTCTTTTTTCTTCTTAAAAGCATTCAATAGACAATTAGGGGTATTTTTGTCATTTATGCTGACTTGACATAAAACTTATCATGTGATAGATTTAGAAAGGGTAATGAAAAGAAATATTGGCTCTAATACCATATTAAGCATTCAGTTTAGAACCAATTGGCTATAAGTGAGAACTTGTTAGGGGCATTTAATGGTCAAAAGTTCATGGTGGTTTTTTTCTTTCTTAAAAGCATTCAGCAGACAACTAGGATATTTTTGTCATTTATGTCGACTTGACATATGAGATTGGTCTGACATGTTCAGTGTCACATCAGCTCGACACTGTTCTTATTGTCTTATGATGGTCCTCTATTGCTCACCTATAAATATAAAGGTCTAAGCACCACTAAAGTAAGTAGATCTTAGACCTATATCATTCTTCTTACTTTTTTCTGACCTTATTTTGTTTGACTTGAGCATCGGAGTACAAATATAGGGAACACACCCTACTTTTACCTCTCGTCATCTTTCTCTTCTATTTTTCTAAGAAAACCCTGTGGTAGAGTTTGGCTCAAATATTTGGCGTACTAGGTAGAAACTTTTTTTTCACTTATTAGTTGAGCATAAAACAATGGCACCAAGGAAAAAAACTTTAGAAAAAGGAAAAATGATCATCATGGCTAGAACATAAACCTATTATAGGCAACATTCCATTCGACTTGCCTAACCATGGTGGAACCGACCATAGAACAATTTCAAGCCTTGATTGAACAGATACAGGCCTTCAAGTAAATGTTACAAACTATAACCCCATCGTAAATTTTGAAAGTGCTTGACCTAATCACCCTTGGTCGAAGAGCCACTATCAAACAACCAAGCTATAAAGAGGTAAAGCCTCATCGGCCTTTAGAGAAGAGGAGCACATCACTCTAGTCCACCAATACCCTAACCACAATTCATCACATGCTATAACCCAAAAATTCAAACAAACAAATCCTAAATCCCAACCAAACAGAGATTTAGAAGCTCGGATGTAGGCCATAGAAAAAGAGCTAAAATTGAAAGTAATAGTATTTGAGGATGAGCTCAAGTTTTTGGAGACCTCACCATTCATCGAAGAAATTGATAATGACATGTCTCCTAAAGGGTTTAAAATGCTGACATTAA